CGCCCGGCAGCTTTCTTTCTACTCAAAGGGGCTTGGAAACAAAACAAGGTTACCGACTACAGGGTGGATTGCATGATGTTGTGTAACCCTCGGCGGGACCCCCCTTGACCCTTTGCCTGTATCTAGGCTACAAGCCTTCAACCTTTAGAGAGAGAAGCAACAAAACAGCATAACATAAAACCACAACCATATCATAGTTACCCAAAGTTTGCGTTGGACAAAGCACTTTCCGCCCGTCTATTGAAACCGAGACATTCTCACCCGCCCGAGTGCTGGTGACTGGTCTACTTGGATTTGTTCTTTCTCTGGTCATCTGTGCACTACAGCAGGGTTGAGGCAGGAGGCTGTTTCGTTCTGCTCCTGCTTCCGCTCCCCTTGTAGTTACACCACTTCCAGCTTACAGCTTACAGCATGCTACACAGGGCTCTTGCTTGCTTGCTCGCTTGGTTGCTATGCACGCGTGCAAGATTCTACCACATCCCATGTTACTCCGTAGTACGAAGTATTGTACACAACAAAACTCCCTCCCAGGGCTGCTGTCACCAGATCAGCCCGTCAGGAATAGGTCCTCGTCGCACAGGCGGGAACACCGCAGGGGGCGATGGCGCGGGAGTCGTTGTGCGGAGGGACTCAGACGGTAGTACAGTAGGGAGCCTGGCGGTTGTGGGAAACTGAAGACAACCAGATTGTTAAGTCAAGGCTGGGCTGGATCGAATATCACAGTATTGACAGTCTGTCTTCATCGTTGTTGGTTGTGGACAGTTGACAGGGAGGGTTTGGGGATGGTTGGCTGGTTGGCTGGCCGCCCGCCCGCCCGCCGCCCGCCCAGCCGGGCTGGGCTGGGCTGGGCTGATTTCGTGTCTGTGTGTTGTCCCCGTCACAACTCGAGTACATGAGGGGTGAGGGACAATACATCTGTCCGGATGGTTTTCCCCATAGGCGCCGTGCAGAGGTGGTGAGTTGCATCTGTTCAGCAGGAAACTCGGATGATGAGGAAGATTTCGTCGCCCCTCCTCCCCTCCGGATGACTTGAGTTAGTATAAATATAAACAATCTCGAAGGGTTGCCATGCTTGTCCAACTCTACTGTGCACGCAACGCATCTCTCCCAGTGTGTTCATGTCCCATGGTTCAGCCGTCACACCACAATCATATGCCTGTGCTTAGGTATCTATCTGCACGGTAAGACAATGGAATTTCCCTCGAAGGCACACGGAAGGAACCTGCTTGTCAGTACGAACTCGTGTCTTCTGCAGATACTATTCTGTTCTGTACTCTCAGAGAAACCACATACCGACCCGATTGCCGATGCAATGTGCGCACACCTGTTCTCGTGCCTGAAATACTCTTCGCATTGTTGGGCGGAATTTTTGACCCGTAGTCAGTATGTGGGTTAAGTGGGCACTGGGGCACGTAGGGAACATGAAGTGTGAAGAATGGGGGGGTGGGTGGATTCTTCTGACTGGCAGCTTCCGGACGGTCGGGTACTTCGATCTGGGCTGGAAGAAAATGAGTGCAGGAGGAAGTTCTCAGGGCACGCACCGTCGTTTTGCTCCACCACAGACTACGGGATCTATCACCTCATTCAGCCAAATTTCATCGGACATGCTACCGTGCCGCTGAACATCAGATTGATTGGGATTCGATCTGTTTGAGATTCAATGCCAGTTTTCTTCCCAGACCGACGGCGGCTGAGATATACCGATTTAGTCGTGTTGGCAATGGCCACGATCTGTGGACGGGATCTATCAGGAATTCGATTAGGTGCGAACTAGACTAAAAGACCCAAAAGGTCGATGCTCGGAGCCGACAAAAGGGGCCTAACGTAATGGTCACGAAGGGGGCGTTTTCTTGACCGGGCCTGGAAAACCCGACCAACCCGGAGGAGGTTTAGGTAGAAAAACGAAATCCCCAGTGCGTACCGGCTGGCTCCGAGTCTAGACTGGTATGTCGGGGATTTGGGGTGGGTTTGGAAGACCCTGCGGTGAGTAGGAACAACAATTAAGATGTCCCGCAGACCGAAGCTGTGTGCATAAGCCAAGGGGACTAGTTATTGCTCGGAGATCAGCAAAGTGCTAGGTGGCATTCTGCTCCGAAAGTGGAATGAAAGGGTGGTGAGGTCATCAGGAAGAAAGGGCCGGATGTTTAATCATCTGGTTGAAGAAGGGAAAAAGAAAAAAGGAAAAAGGTCCCAAAAGAGAAAACAGACGGGATGAAAAGACGAGGGGGACGAAGGGGGAAAAAGCGCTCGAAGCAGAAAAAAGGATCGGCCCACACCCAGGCTGGAGGTGATGTATCAAGATCATCGACATCAACAGAAAAGCCGACGGATCAGCATCGGGTAAGGCCCACCCCAAAGAATCCGTTAGGAATCCGTGGCTGTTGCCGGAGGCATCCATTAGTTGGTGATTAGTTAAGACACCATGCAGCCACGCATGGGATCTGGGATCATGGCGCTGAGGTAAGCCCGTTGCTGCGGTCCCGCGACTGGAAAGCCTCTTACAGTCCATGACGGAAGGGGGCATGAACATGGAACCGGCTACAGATTCTGGATGATGATGATGTTTGTCGGAAGGTAACGCACCTATAGCACTGCAGTCATGTTTGCCTCCTCAGATTGACACATCGCCCCCTCCCATGCAGACAGCTAGCTGTATGTCAACACGGACTTTGCCAATGTGTCAGACGGCTGAGCATAGCCGGCACTCTGCAGCCAGTCCCAGATTGCCGCACTGACGCTGATTGACCTTTCATGTCTGACATAGGAGAGGGGGCCAGAGGCTGAAAAGGGAGGATCTGGCGGGTTGACCTAACTACCTGCATTCGAGGGGGATGACTGACCGATCAACCGTTCATAAGTCGTTGCCAGGGTACAGACTACAGAGGACTCAGGTTGAGCCATGGAAGAGGGGATGGACAAGCATGAATGAAGATCAGACTACAGCGGGTGCTACTTCATATGTAGCATATGTATTGTCCCTCCTGGCATGGCACTGCGTTGGGCCATTGGGGGACGGGCAGCAGGCGGGCGCGATGGTTTAGGATTTTGCAGGTGGTCCGAGTGCGGAGTACGCCTCATGCCTCATGCCTGACTAGGCTGCCCGGGAGCTTAGGTGGTTGAGCTTATGCATTTGTGGCCATACGCCAGTCATGTATGTTGGTTGCAGCCCCACAGACGCGGGCAGAGATTATTGGCGTCGCTCCGCTAATAATGCACTTGATTTATTGGGAACAAAAAGAAAATTGGAAACCTTTTTTTCCTTTTTTTTTTTTTTTTTTTTTTTTTTTCCTTTATTCCTCCTGATTATTCGAAAATAGAATAGCAAAGTGGCACGGGGAAGTGAGGTTTAGTGGGTCTCGCTGACCATGGTCCACCTGCAGTCTTTCGGCGAGTCACAGCCGGGGGTTCGTGCTAGACTTACCACTTTCCCCCTCCATCCCTGAAGGTGCATTTTTGGCTCCGGCGCTTGCATCCTCGTCAAACACTGCCCTGTTTCGGGGCGGTTCGACTCCATACCCACTTAATCTTTCCCATTGACTCCGCCCGTCCCCATGCGCGAGGTCCACCCCCCGTTTCTTTCGGTAGTGTTCACTTGCTGTCTAGAGGGGAGCCTCTAGTTAACACTTAACGATCTTAACTCATTAATCAATGCGGTTAGGCTGAGCCTAGCACATCAACGTTGTTGATTATTCTGTTTCTGGTCTGACTTGACCCAGATTATTTAGTGGTACTATGTACTCCGTAACTGGTAAGTCACTATCACATTTCCACCCCGCCTGCCAACAGTTGACACCAAACCCTTTCTCCCGGCGACGATACAAATCTTACTGTAAGTTCACCCCCCATCTAGAGTCGGTCGCTAGTTGCGCGCAAGCCTTTAAGATGGGAAGATATATTTACAGTTAATACGGAATACAGTACATAGTCTAAGCTACTGGAGTAGTCGATTGAAGGGGAGGGTGTATACCCTCCGGCATTTCTGATCATTGATTGCCCTTACAAATACCACTCACAGCAGAATCCCACAAAATATATGCAGGCTAGTATTACAGTGGTGGTGGACTGATAGGGTTGAGACGAATGCAACCCCTCCAGTCCTGACCTCAAGTTCGGCGCCCGGAAAATATTAACTGTAAATACCCGCGGACACGACTCCAGATTGTCTCCACCCGCTAGACCGTTCCTGGATGTCGAGCTGCCTGTCTTCAGCTTGGCGCCGGACGACCGCCATCTCAGCTTTCCGTGCTTTCCTCGGGTTTCGTTGACTGCTTGAGCTGCACAACCACTAGCGTCTCTTGGCATTTTTCGCTCTCTACCACCAGCCCCTCGACCTTCCCTCTTTCCCTTCCTCTTCTTCTTCCTCTCTCTCTCTTCCTTTCCTCTTCTCTTCTCTTTCTCCTCCTTTTCCCTTTTGCTTTGGCTTGCTTCCCCCCCTGCCAATTCACCCCAGCTGTATCTATTTTCCCTTATCCCTCAATTCTCTTCCCTCCCCTTCTATCCCTTGCTTGTGTCATTTGCCTTCATCGTTCCAAGGTGTTCAGTTCTGCCGTTCGATCCTTTTTCCACCTTGCCGTACGTGTTTCTATTTACCTTCTTACCCGCGCTTCACCAACTCATCACATCCAGTACTTTTACTCAGTGCTGAACTCGAATTGACAGTGCAAGCACCTTAGCGCTTGCATACTCCATTTCTACGTCTGGCTTGACAGCGCCACGGCCCATTCCGCCTCTTCCCATCACCGTCTCCCGCCTTCGCCGACCTGAGTACAATTCTCGGTTGTGTACTAGTCATCTTGCGTGTATTGTCTCGGAATCCCGTCGCGGTCTGATTCAAGGTGGTTGGCTCTGATTTGCGCGACCACCTACAGCTAGATTGTGCGACCTTGCAGTGACACAGGCGCTCGTTGCATCATCGTGTCGCAAAGTGCATGGAATCATAAAAAGTCAGCATCCGCATCACTTGGTTGTGTCGCGTCTCGGCTTCAATCTCCATCAACATTATGGCCCATACACAGCCATCCCCTACGGGTGGTGTTACTCCGCACCATGGTCATCTCGCGGCTCATCCGCAGGTCAATGGCCATCTCCCTCTGCAGTCCCAGAGCCAAAAGGGCCCGCCCTTGACTACCGCGCAGAAGATTGCTGCACTCAATGAACAAGTCTGGCTACAAATCGGTACGTAGATCTATAATGGCATTCATGTTGTAGGGCTAGTGGGCCGGTTGCTGTCTCTCTTGGGCTACCGCTAACTGTCCACCTTAAGGAGCTCTTACTGAACTGATGGGCGACCTCGAGGGTGCTATGAATGCTTACGAGCAAGCATTGCGACACAATCAATGGTCTATCCCTGCCATGAATGCGATATCCTGTATACTACGCACCAAGGAGCAATTCCCCAAGGCGATCGAGTACCTGCAGAACATCTTGAAGCTGGACCCGACCAATGGCGAAACATGGGGCAGTTTGGGTGTGTATAAATCCTTCAGCTTATCCTATCTGCTGTTAGTTGACATTCTCGTCAGGTCACTGCCATCTCATGATGGACAACCTGCAGGAGGCGTACACTTCCTATCAGCAAGCGCTCTACCACCTACGCGATCCGAAGGTTAGTAATATGTTAGTATATGTTGTTTTCAGACTCTAACCTCAATGACAATACAGGAGCCCAAGCTGTGGTATGGAATTGGCATTCTCTATGATCGTTATGGCTCTCTCGACCACGCCGAAGAAGCCTTTTCTCAGGTCATGCGCATGGCGCCCGATTTTGAGAAGGCCAATGAAATCTACTTCCGGCTGGGTATAATATACAAGCAACAACAGAAGTTCAACCAGAGTCTCGAGGTATGTATATCGCATTCCGCGTTGCAAGGGTGTGGCCGGGTCAAATTTTGTGCTGACCAGCGATACACAGTGCTTCAAATACATCGTGACAGATCCTCCCCGTCCCTTGACCGAAGAGGACATTTGGTTCCAGATTGGCCACGTTCACGAGCAGCAGAAAGATGTAGGTCTTCCACAATATGCACCATATGCACAGATCAATTTGCAGCTAATCAAAGTACAGTTCGACGCTGCGCAACAAGCCTACAGACGGGTCCTTGACCGTGACCCCAATCACGCCAAGGTTTTGCAGCAACTCGGATGGCTCTACCACCAACAAAGCAACAACTATGCTAGTCAGGAGAAGGCGATTGAATACTTGGAAAAATCTGTCAGCGCAGGTGAGCATCGAAGTTTCGACTTACGCGCGATGCGATACTGACCAATTCCAACAGATAATACCGATGCGCAAAGTTGGTATCTGCTCGGTCGTTGCTACATGTCTCAAGCCAAGTATCCCAAGGCGTACGAAGCTTACCAACAAGCCGTTTATCGCGATGGACGCAATCCGACTTTCTGGTGCTCCATTGGTGTTCTGTATTACCAGATCAATCAGTACCGCGATGCGCTGGATGCGTATTCCCGTGCGATCCGTTTGAACCCATACATTTCCGAAGTGTGGTACGATCTGGGTACTCTAGTAAGTTGCAGTGTCTTAAGTGTTTTCAAGTCAAGCTCTTAACAATGTCGTCAGTATGAATCGTGCAACAACCAGATCGCGGATGCACTCGATGCTTACGGTCGCGCCGCTGACCTGGATCCGACCAACGTCCACATCAAAGCCCGTTTGCAACTCCTTCAAAGCCAGTTGTCAGGTTCTGGCGGCCAAAACAACGGACCAGCTCCTCAGCCTCAGGATGTGCATCCTCAAGCTTATCAAGCACCCGGTGTTGGAGCTCCTCCGGCGCCTCAATGGGGTGCACCAGCCCCCACTGGTGGTCCACCTCCGCAGGCTCCTGCTCCCCCGAGACAGATTGCTGACTGGAACCGTGGCATCAATGAAGTCCAGTCCCAAGTTCAGGCCCAAGCCGCCAATGGATTCGATCACCGCGACGCTCTTCGTGCTCCTGGCGCCCTGCAGCAACCGAGCCCGCGACAGGAGCCTGGCAGGGTGTTCGGCGATGCCGTGCGTCCTCAGCCGACCGTCCGCTCTCCTAAGACCACTTTGCCAGGTGGTCCAGGTGCTTACGGGCCTGGTGGTCACACTCTTCCTCAGCTTGGTAACCCGGCGGGTCCTGCATCGGATCGCACTCCTGGTGCTTCTGCTGCCTTCTCTTCCGCGACTCGCGGCCCATTGCCTCCCGCCCCTGCCGCGCCTCCCGCCCCTGCTGCCGCGAATGGTGCTCCTACCCCTGGTGGTACTCTGCCTCCTTATCATCGCCCGTTCACCCCGCCAACGGAAATCAGGCCTCTGCGTGACGAGCGGCCATCGTCTCCTGGCTCCACCTACCCGCATCAACAGTTCCACCATGGCCCCAGCGTGCCGCCAAGTGGTAGCGGTATCGCAGGTGGCGCGCCTCCACCTGCTTCTGCTATCAGTGCTGCCGAAGCAGCTGCCCGCGAGCGTGAGGACCGCCCTGGCTCTGCGATGAAGCGTGGCAGAGAGTGGGATACTGAGGCCGGTCCTGCCAAGAAAATCGCCAGCGAGGAGAGCCGTGCCCGCCTAGATGAGCAGATGACTCGCCGCGTTACTCCTCCCAATCGCATGCCTTCCCCTGGGGAGATGCAGCGCCGTAGCTCCTCAGAGGCTCGTCGCGAGGACCAGCGCAGGGTTAACGAAAATTACCATCCTTCTGAGGCGGCTCACCATCCTCCTACGCTCCCCTCTATTCAGCACATGCCCCCGCACCCCTCTGGCGGTCCTAGCCTCCCTCCCATGTCGGAAAGCTCGGCCACGGTGTCCAACGGGCCCCAGTCCGGACCCCCGTCCGCGACAGTACCCGTCAAAGAGGAGCCTGCTCGCAGCGAACAAGTCCCGGCCCACGAGCCGGCTGCACGCAAAATGGACGTGGATGAGAACTACGATGATGACGGTGATGATGAGAAGAGAGCGTCTGCCGCAGTCAAGGGGAGCCCCTCCGCTAGCGCCAACAATAGCAGCAATGGTGTCCTGGGCAATGGCAGTCAACCTGCACAAGCGAAATCCGAGTCTACTCCTGCAGTTTAAAACTTGGTGGTGTGATGTCCCTGCATGCCCTTTGAGGGTAATGACAACCAGAATATGACACCAAACTAAGAATACTAGTTCGCCATGAATTATTTTACTCCGAGATGTCTCTTCACCCTCGTTACCCTTCCTTTCTCACCTTTCCTTGGTTTTCGTCTATATATTTTCTTCCCATTCTCACCGGCCATTCTGTTCACTATCTGTTTTATCACGAGAGCTTGTTGTATTGTAGTCTTGGCGGTTCATGGGACGGTATGATGGTCATCGGTTTCTGTCTTGATTTCTACTATCTTAGCCATCCATAACGAATAGTCCTGATCCACCATATTACTTGATACCAAATCGGTAGAAGTAGGAGGCCATTCGGCATTGAGAGAACATTGGTAGGATCACCAAACAGTGCGAGAACCAGTACTTGAGAAGACCCGCACATATAGCATAGTGACCCGGCAGCACACCGAGTGGTTCTAGAAGCCTGGGGTTCGGACAGTACACCGTGCCAAGTCTCCCCGTGCGTTTCAGCGTGGAGAACTATTTAGTGTTACTTTACTTAGTGGAATGAATTGGGGCTGGAAGGGAATGCGACGTGGCACTGAGTACGAGTACTGATATTCTGTTCTGTGCATTGCGACCGTGTGGCCCACGTTGTTAATAGAAAAAGGGGGAGGGGAGGAGATGACACATCCGAACATAGTATGACCCAGTCATGCTTTCTGTGAAGGAGAAAACGAAGGGGAAAAGAAAGGGGGGGGAAGGGGAGGGCCCACCGACTGGAGACATGGGAGGATGTGGATTGCGGTAAATTTTTGACTCGGATGGAAGAAGAGAAACGGTGAATAATAATGTGCCACACTGCCTCGCAATGCTCCATCCATGTGTGGCGGCATTGGCGGGAAGGTCATTTTACTGCCTGAGGCCAGAATCAGGTTAGGACCCATCAATCGCTTAGCCCCATTGGGAAGCCGACGCCAAGAGTTCGCTTAGATCAGCCCACATTCGTTAAGCGTGCAAAATACGACTTCCGCCAAATTCAGAGATAGACACTCTCACTCACCACTTCGACGAACTAACGACAACAGGGTCAAGATGTAAGTCGCCCTCACCGGCCATGTAATATTGCTCAATTTGAGAGGATATCCGATTGCTGATGTTTTTTTTGATCTTACAGGAGTCACCGGAAGTACGAAGCGCCTCGGCACGGTTCGTCAACCTTTGCTTTTCACCACTCGCTCGACGTTGGAAGATGATGAGGATTTTTTTTGCGTGAATCTGGGTACTGATACTCGTCGCTACAGGCTCCCTTGCCTACTTGCCTCGCAAGCGCGCTGCCAGACACCGTGGAAAGGTCAAGAGGTCAGTCACGCCAGGATAGAAAATTTTTCATTGCGTGCAATCGCGATGTTTTTGGGAGGCAGTATACTGAAAATTTTCTCATTGCGACAGCTTCCCCAAGGATGACCCCAAGAAGCCCGTCCACTTGACCGCCTCCATGGGTTACAAGGCCGGTATGACCACTGTTGTCCGTGACCTCGACCGCCCTGGTGCCAAGATGCACAAGAAGGAGATTGTTGAGGCCGCTACCGTTATCGAGACTCCTCCTCTTGTCGCCGTCGGTGTTGTCGGTTACATCGAGACTCCCCGTGGTCTCCGCTCTCTCACCACCGTCTGGGCTGAGCACTTGAGCGACGAGGTCAAGCGTCGCTTCTACAAGAACTGGTACAAGAGCAAGAAGAAGGCTTTCACCAAGTACACCAAGAAGCACGCCGAGGAGAACGGTGCCTCCGTCACCCGCGAGCTCGAGCGCATCAAGAAGTACTGCACTGTCGTCCGTGTCCTCGCCCACACTCAGATCCGCAAGACCCCTCTCAAGCAGAAGAAGGCCCACCTTATGGAGATCCAGGTCAACGGTGGCTCCGTTGCCGACAAGGTTGACTTCGCCCGCAACCTGTTCGAGAAGCCCATTGAGATCGACAGCATCTTCGAGAAGGATGAGATGATCGATGTCATTGCCGTCACCAAGGGTCACGGTTTCCAGGGTGTCACCAGCCGTTGGGGCACCAAGAAGCTTCCCCGTAAGACCCACAAGGGTCTGCGTAAGGTCGCCTGTATCGGTGCCTGGCACCCTAGCCACGTCCAGTGGACTGTTGCCCGTGCCGGTCAGATGGGTTACCACCACCGTACCTCTTGCAACCACAAGGTCTTCCGTGTTGGCAAGGGCTCCGATGAGGGTAACGCCTCCACCGAGTTCGATATCTCCAAGAAGCAGATCACTCCGTAAGTTTTGGTTACATTCTGTGATTCACCGACGTTTCAAGCTAATTTGCCTTTTTACAGTCTTGGTGGTTTCGTCCGCTACGGTGAGGTCAAGAACGACTTCCTTCTCATCAAGGGTTCCGTCCCTGGTGTTAAGAAGCGTGTCATGACCCTCCGTAAGACCCTCTACCCCCAGACCAACCGCCGCGCCACCGAGAAGGTCGAGCTCAAGTGGATCGATACCTCCTCCAAGTTCGGTCACGGTGCTTTCCAGACTGCCGAGGAGAAGCGCGCCTTCCTCGGTACTCTCAAGAAGGACCTTGTCACCTCTGCTTAAGTTGTTGCGGGTTATGGAATGGAGTAGTGCGAATTATATTTTCTTTCAATAAAAAGCGAATACCTTTCAAGTCTACTCCTATGACTGGAAAGTTTAGTCCGGCTCTCCTCTGGTCTAGTTTACGTAGTCGGACGTCACATTTATGACAAGTTAATTTATGCCCATCTCATTGGAACATGTTGCACGAGCAGTAGATGAAACAGTCACTCTTCAGTATTGAGCAATCGTAAAGGGCATTTCAAGATGCATATCGGAGTAATGCAATGCACAATTGGTTTGTGCGTGAAAACTTTGCCATCCGCACGAACAGACTTGCAACACCATCTCGACGACACCAGAACCGCACTCTCATCACACATACTCCGCTGCAGCTCTTGTGTGATTGCCTTTTCGAGCTCATACCTCCCTAAGCTTTTTCGGAAAATCCTCTTCCTGGGCTCACCGGTCAGATGATGAGCGGCCCCCTGCGACGGTGGCCGCACAGCCGCAGCGGCCATTGCGTCATTGATGGCATCGCGCGTTGGGCTTCACTTCCTTCTTCCGCCGTGTCCACACTTCTTACTGTTTCCTCCACTTCTCATCAATCTCATAACCAACGGTACATATTTCAATCGCAGTTTTATCGAGCCTCCCTGGCGACCAACCCTCCCATTCCGCGTTCCAGCAAACCCGCCCGTATCGCCACCACAACCACCAGAACCACAATCCGCACCATGTCGTCCGACGACTCCTACATGGCGTTTTTGAACAAGGCCAACGCTGACCTCAACGAATCCAAAAACGCCCCGCAGACGAGCAGCACCTCCTCGGGCGCCGCTGCCCGCACCGAGACCGTTCACGCCGGCGTCCGCGTCCCCGCGCCGCTCACCTCCGTCGATGCCTTCTACATCTCCGAAACCGACGAGCCGTTCGAGCCGGTCACGCTTCAATGGGAGGGCGCGAATCGGGGCGTCTGGCCTGATGCTGGTGCGTAGTTAAAACCATTCTTCTACCCCGCAGCTGTTTTTGTTACTGAGCACCACCACCATCAACAATCCACCCACTAACTCAATCCTGGTGGCGATATAGCACACCTCTCCAGACTCATCTCCTCTACCGACGACCTCGCCTCGCGCATCGAAACCCTCTCCGCAGCCTCCTTCGACCCTAAGAATCAGTACGCGGCGGCCCTGCGCGCGGTGCGGGCGGCCGCTAGCCAGGCGTCGGGCGGCGGGGAGCCCGGCGTCGAGGAGGCGGATGTTGATGTCAAAGTCTATCGGGTGGAGGTGGGGAGCTCGCGTGTGGAGTATTATGTGTTGGCGTTGGATGTTGAAGGAGGGTTGTTGGTGGGGTTGAGGGCTAAGGCGGTTGAGTCTTAAGTTTTCTTGTCTTGTGTTTTATGATGAGATGAATTAATACTTTTTACTGATTACTTTCTTCTTGTGGTGGGTCGGTTGAATTTTGAACATTTTGCGGGTGATTTTGCTTGGGTGGAGTTCAGCTGGGTGATGTACTGATGGGGAACTTAATCAATGTATATCTCCAGCGGACCACTCGACGAATAGCCTATACACACCTATAACCGAGACGCTAGTGAGGTGAGTCAACACCATATCAATCGCATGGCATGAAAATGGAATATGTAGCTTTAGATCTGTATACTATAGGATTCGCGGAAGAGCTCTAGATCTTGCCTGTATGATATAGATATACAACCCCCAGGAACCCAGGCATTGTACATGACGTAGGATATATAATCGAGCTTTCGATGCGATATTATGACGAGAGACACGAAGTGCCCATGGCTGCAGTGTGTTTATAGCTTGATGGCAGGGTATGGATTGCTTGGTTCGAGACATACGTTTTGCTATATGTTTAATATATATTTTTGAACATCAATGTATTTCGCGCTCGGTAAAAGCAACCCGAGGTGCAATTGCCACCCAACGATACAAGACACACCGGTAACTCGCTATTCCGTAATCATCGAGCTATATTTCTCCGGTCTATCATGTCTCACTCTTTTGATGTATGTCGTAGTCTAAAGTATCGAACTGAGTCAAATTACAGCCGGCGGGAGGTAAATGGACCCGTCACACTAGATAGAGGATCGTCAAGAGGCAAACCAGCGCCCATACATACTCCAAGACAAGGAAGCCTACTCTACTAGCAATACTATTGCTCTCAGCTCGGTTGAGATAGTGAACCCTCGAACTTACCGTACTATGGGTCGTTGGGTTATCCGCTGGGGGTTTGTTCCTTCGCGGATAAGGAGGGGGGAGCATAGAGTGGTCAGGGCCGATAAGCGAACTGGGGGGTTTTTTCTCCTTTGGTTTCGCAGATCCGCACCCTACGCTAACTACCTAGTCCCTTGCTAGTACATCAATTCTGGTCTCTGTCATTGTGAGATAGGACCTGTCAGGAAGATAATCGATAGTTGCCTCATAAGCATAGCATCAGGCTTCGTCATCGTAGGATGAGACTACTATCTTGGGAAATCGGTAGATCTTCAATGTGGCGAACGTTATTACTACTCGATAGACTGTACCCATGATTCCCGATGAACGAACTGGTTGATGCCCAGAGTAGCTGAACTTACTGCAAGTAAGTTATCTACGATACATAATGCAGTCAACTCGAGGGAGTTGTTCGAGATGAAGCACGTCAAGCGGTTTTGCATCTCTCCCACCCCCCTGACTTGTATGGCAGGACCTTGTAATACGAATCACCAGCCACTACCTTAGGACCCTAGGGGTAAGGGAAAGAGCAGTCGGTAGAACCATGCGCGAGATTTTGGCATTGCACACACAATCATCGCTTGTCTGTGCGGGATCTCTAGCCTCTGATCAGGGGAGGCTATAGAGTTCTGGAATTGCAGGGAGCTAACTTAGAATCTACAGGTGGGGGAAGGGAGGCTTGGCGAGTGCAGGGTGAGTGCTGGGATGCGACATGCTCTCCTCCCTCAGGCAAGAGGAAGGAGGACGAGGAACTGGAAGACTGAGTAGGTATAAATACTTGGATTGGACAGAATGGATCAGCAGTAAGTAGCTGTTTGAAACGGAATGTGGTTGTTGTAGCAGGGAGAATACTGTAGGCCAGGAAGAATGCTGCCAGTATGTATTGTAACAATTTGTAAGATGATCGACGCTAGACGGGGGCCGGTTAGTGGCCGTTCCAGCCCGCCTGGTTGGCCGATACTGAAAATAGACTAGGGTTGCCGCCTCTCCCCCAATGGTTCAAGGCGGTCATTCCCGAATCGTCGCGGGCAACCAAATTCTTTCTTCCTTCCAGCATTCAGCTCCCTGTTTCTGAGATTGATAATGTTGCAAGCCAAGGAAAAAAAAAAAAAAAAAAGGAGTCGAAATGGGAGGCAGGCACTGCGGAGTTCATGCTGCTCTAATCCAACTACTCCTGCTGCTGCTGCTGCTGCTTGTCAACCTAGAGTAATGAGGCTGCACGCTAGTCATGCATAAGTGGTTCTCCATCACATGGTTCCTGGCAGCAGCAGAGTCGATCAGCTCCAAGTATAACTCCCAATTTCGCTTCAGCAAGCACTCTCCTGCAGACGCCACTTTCTTTTTTCCAAAGCGTCGCACGCACTGCGATTTGTGGTCCAGCATTGCCACTGCACCACCCAATGGGTGCACAGGGTTCAGGATTGAAGCATTCTTCGGCCCAGAAAGTGTCCCTTGATCGACGGATGCCTGCGCTTCCATCTTGATCATTGTTCGGACCAGGTCCTTCCTCCCTCTAGCAGTCAGGTCAATCTGCAGTGTATGTATGCACCTGCAGTGGGGCAGGGTCCCGTAATATTAGCTGAACATGTATGTATGCATGCATGTATCGATGTATGTAATAACAATTGCCATTATTGCAGGACGTGGGCAAAGGAAAGCAAACCAGCAGTAGGTAGAAGTTTGAGAAAGCCAGGCTTGAATTGGCTGTGATCATCTTCTGTACCCTTGTCCCTCTTCGTCTGTCTTTCCCTCTCTTCTATTCTTCACGTTTCTCTTACCACCCCCTTCTTTGGGCGACGGGCTGCATTGCTTCCAAGACCTCCATTCGCGCCCTCCCCTCCAAGGCCTGTTTTGGTCTCCCTGCTCCATTCTTCTGTGATTGCCCTCCATCGCTCGTTCATCTTTCCCTTCCTTTCTGCACTGTCTGCGCGCGACAGACTCGACCACGCTTTCATTAATCTCAGCTCTACTGCTGAGTGAGCCTGCCAATCTTTCCCAGCGCGCGCATCTCTTCATGTCGCCGCAGTCATAGGATCTGTGTCTGTGAGCATTGGTTACACTCTTTGGTTTCGGTTGGTTTCAGTTCTTTTTATAATCCACCACGCGTCAAACTGCCGCTCTTTACTTCGCCCTTGCCTCGACTACAGTCGTTACTGCGTGCCCGATCAACACACCCACACGACTCGAAACAACACTCTAGAGGGTCGTGCTAAGTGATTCATGGAGACCTAGTCTTTACTGCGAGCGCGGAACCACAACAGAAGAGAGCTTGTCCGCTAGAGAATCAGCCTCCGTCTCCTTGCACCAAGTCGAATAGATTCCAATCCAGGAACTAAACCCCCGGATAGTGGAGCGATAGACCCGTACCAGGCTTCTAGAGAGCGTGCAGTGAGAGAACGGGAGGAACAGTCGCTGGGATTGGGAAAGAAGACCAAAGTGCACAACATGTCCTTCAAATCCACGGGGCGTGGCACTCCTCATATCCGGCTCAACTCAGGACGTCAAGATCCCTTTGCAGACTCCGACGACCCCTATGCATCAGTGCCGCATCCTCAGATCGGACGGGCGTTGACGCCGGGAATGGTGCAGTCCCCATCCGATGGCACACTGCAAACGATGTGGGGGTCGCCCACGCCCCAAGAATCTACCGAGTTTCTGATTCCGCCACGGCCCTACCGTGGCCACCGGGAGGAAATGGATAGTACGCGGTCAGCGGGGTTGTCGACCCGGTCGTCGCGGCGCACAAGCTGGAGCTCCGAGGGCGCCAGCTCGGACGCGCGAGGGTTTGTGTACACACCGTTTGAAGAGCTACGGTCCCCGTCACGCGCGGGTAGCGATGAAGTGGACGTGAACACCCAGACGGTGTCGGAGAAGTACAATATTATGCCCACGGAGGGACTGCTGCTGTTCCCTGAGGATGTCGAAAAGGATGACTATCTGCACAACCCGGACCCGGCCGACAAGGATTCAGAGTGCGACATTTGGAACAGGAGGGGTATTGCGAACGTTGGGGGATTGATCCTGATCACTATTGGCTTCTTGGTGTTGTTTGTCGGCTACCCTGTCATGTATGGATGCAATCTACTTTGATTTGCGTGGGGAGGGGGTGGAAAAAAAAAAGAAAAAAGACCCAGAGCCCCCCCTCCCCCGCTACTGTTTTTACTGTTTGTATGAAGAATGAATGCTGATTACTTTTTTTTCTTCTCAGGATGGCGGTAGAGAGCTTCAGAAAACCGTCGAGACCATCATGTCACGAAACAGATCCTCTGTGTCTCGATGTCAGAGAGCAACCGGTACTTGCCAATATTCGCAGTGGGTTGATAGACCCAGACACGCCAAAGTCTGCCTTGAGCAAAAAAGCGGCGAACGGCAAGGAATGGCAGTTGGTGGTAAGCATATCCAAGGGGCTAGAACACACCAGCATACCGCGGGCGTGGCCTCTGGAATTGTGGCTGATTCTTCGCTATGCAGTTTTCGGATGAATTCAACACTCCGGGCCGAACATTCTACGATGATGATGATGCCTTCTTTCAAGCAGTTGACCTGTGGTATGGTGTCACGCAGGACTTGGAGGTAGGTTCGCTGACTGCTCGGAAGGACCAACTTGGGTACCGTACTGACTCGCCGTATAGTGGTATGACCCTGATGCAGTCACGACTAGAGATGGTGTACTGGAGATTCGCTTTGATGCCTTTTCCAACCACGACGTGAAATACCGCTCGGGCATGTTGCAGAGCTGGAACAAGCTGTGCTTCTCCGGCGGTCGCTTGGAAGCAAGTATCTCACTACCTGGCTCCGGTGATGTATCGGGGTTCTGGCCTGGTTTCTGGGCGATGGGAAACCTCGGGCGACCTGGGTATGCTGCGACAACCGAGGGCATGTGGCCGTACAGCTACCACGACAAGTGCGATGCTGGGATCACGCCCAATCAAAGTTCACCGGATGGTATCAATTGGCTGCCCGGGATGCGTCTCCCTGCATGCACCTGCGACGGCTCAGATCATCCCTCCCCGGGGAGATCGCGCGGTGCACCTGAGATCGATGTGCTTGAGGCCAACACTATTGCCTTAAATGGTAATCAGAATGCGTATATCGGTTCGGTGTCTCAGAGTTTGCAGATGGCGCCGTTCGACATCTGGTACATGCCTGATTATGGTTAGTCCCCCTCCCCCTCAAATATTCCCTACCATTCTAACTGGGTGCAGACTTCACCGCTGTCTATGATCCAAGAATCACACAGCTCAACGCTTACCGTGGAGGCCCGTATCAGCAGGCTATGTCGGGCCTCACCAACCTCAACAACGACTGGTACAACGGCTCCGAGTATCAGGTATACGCCTTCGAATACACGCCCGGCGCCGAGGGGGACATTACCTGGTTTGTGGGTCAGGATAAAACCTGGACACTAGACGGTCGAGCCATTGGTCCCAACGGGAACGTTGGCCAAAGACTGGTCCCTGTCGAGCCGATGTCGATTATCGCGAATCTGGGAATGGCATGGAACTTTGCACCGATTAACGATAGTATTATGAGCTACCTGCCGGGTTATCTGCGGTTCGACTATATCCGGATCTACCAGGATCCAGAGCACACTAGCGTAACCTGTGATCCACCTGGCTACGAGACCACGGACTATATCGCAAGACACCCGGAAGCATACCGTAACGTGAACAAAACCACTTGGTACGTTATTACCTCCTGTCTCTTTATTGACACCTTCTGACCTATCCCAGGCATGATGCCGGATATGACTGGCCTAAGAACACCTTGATGCATGGATGTTAGACAACCACACTCGCCACGAACCTTCTTTTCTCCTGAGTTGATGATAATAAGTCCTCACCCAATCCCCGCCGTGTCAACTTAGCCCTATGGGCAACCCGGACTGATTATTTAGCGGCATTGTTGTTTACTGGCGTTCCTTCTGTGAATCTGTGTTTGTGGTATAGGACGGAGGGGCTATTGGGATTTTCTATTTGCATTCATTTCCTTTAGAGATATTTTCGATGTACTTTTCGATTCTCTTTTCTCTTGCCCCATTTGCTGTTGAGTCATTTTGTCTCTAACCTTTTGTCATCTAACCAATCTCGCATGCTGGCATCTTTGTGCAGATTGATTTTGTTGTTCTTTTCGTCTGTGATTGGTTGTGTGTGGATATTGATCTCTAATATTGGGTCTCATTAGATGGAGATGGGGGAGGAGAATGAGACGTCGAGAGCCTCCAGTGCTGCCAGGATACCTTTCTAGACCATACATAGCATAGCACGAATGAGACTTGAGCTACAGCTACTTCACTAAATACGGGATGACGGTTTGGTCTGCAAACATAACAAACAAGTCAAACCAGCGCCGCATCCCCGTCCCTTCATCCACCCCCACATTCAAGCTATCTCCATCTGCCTCCGACTCGTTGCATCCAACGACTATCCTGCTGGTCGGGATTGAGATATCGAGTCGTTGCTCTGCTCTGCAGCTTCATTCTTCCCCTTTCACCGCGTAACGCCGTCGTGCCTCTGGCTTCGGGTGTTTCTATTCGTGGGTCGCAACACGGAAAAAGACCGGGCTCCTCGGTATATGGTCTATCTCAGTGTGGACAGACCGATTGACTCGTCGCATCAACTACTGGGTTACAGCGCCTCAACCGCAACTCGCTTCTAGCCACTATTCTCTTCCTACCTCGAAGCACGAACCACGAATTGCGAACCACTTCATGATGTTCAACCCCAACATCCACGGCCCCCGTCCCGGCCACGACCAAGACGACCCCATCGTCCTCGACGGAGACGAAGACCTAGGAAACCATCTCGAGCCGCACTTCGACTCCGACACCGACGACTCCTCCGAATCGGTCAGCAGCAGACCAAACGACCGCAACCGCCTGCCGGCGCATGTCCTTGCACAGCAGCAGTTATCCCAGCTGCAATGGCCGCAACATGACAGTTCGTCTGCCTTTTGCCATTCCCAATCCCATCACACAACATGCATACTAAAACCACAAACTCAAGGACCCTCCAACCAATCCACTACCATCACCACCACAACTAACGACAATAATAACACCCCCAACCCACCCCGCACCACGAGCACAACCACCGACACCAATCCCACCACCGAAACGCAAACCCTCTACCACGCCTCCCTCGAGCAAGACAAAAAGCACCGCAGCCGAGTCCGCGAAGAACGCCACGCCGCGCTCTGCGTATTGATGGATAGGGAGCTACTGACTGTTCAGGCATTAGCAGCGCATGAGGTACTTCCAGTCCCCAGTCCCGGGTCCTCAGTCATCGCTCCACAAACCCCCCATTCATCCATGCATTCATTCCCTTTTCCTCCTGCATACTAACCACCAACCCACCCACAAAACCAAACAGACCATCCCCCAAACCCGCCGCCGCTTCCTCGCCAAACTTCTCAGCCCAGAAGACCCCGAATCCGCCACGACCTTACAAGCCGATCGCTTCATTATCCAGCACCCGACCCTGCGAAGCTCGCGCTCACGATCCCACTCACCGCCGTCAAGGTCTGGTTCTGTCTCGGTGGGTGCTTCGCTTCCGGGGTCCCCTGCCGCTGCATCGGCCACTACTACTACTATTACTCCCGGTGGCATTTCTACCCCTGGTCCCTCTGGTGCTACGACGCCCGGTGCTACGACTCCCGGGGTAGACGAAAGGCGATCCCGGATCGGAGTGGGGATTGGAATTGGCGGACCGATCACGACAACGGGGTTGATTGTTCCGCGCCGCGTCGAAGACGTCTGTGAGACGGATGAGGGGGGGTGGAGGCGGCCTGTTGTTGATCAGCGGGAGCGAGATCGAGGAGGCGCAGGGACGAACCGGGGGTCTCCGGCGGGGTCGACGTTGTCGTCCTCGTCGGCTGGGAGAGCCAAGGGCGGGGGAAGAAGTAGTGCTGCTGCTACGGCGGGGTCGACGCCCGAGAGGAATGGGAGGAGGGTTAAAGGGCGGTCTCAGCGGGAGAGGGAAAGGGAGAGAGGGAGGACGAGGAGGGGATTGGTTGGTGCGGGGTCGATTCTCTGAATCCTTTGTCCTGTATACTGCATGTAGGCTAAGTGTATGTATGTACTCCGTACTGCGTACCCCGTACTCAGTGAAGTATTTAGTACTAGGGAGCTAGTATTCAATCCCATAATACGCTCCACCTTTTTTTACCCCCTTAGCCTGGGGAATCAGTCAGAATAGAATGCCTTGTTCACCAGGAGAAGGATGTGAAAGAATGATCGTCATATACAATTGCTTTGCCAAAGTCAAACTGAAAGAAAAAACCTATCCCCGTGATACCCATCACTCCATGAAAAAAAGTTAATCGTACTATCATACAAAAACACACACACATACACACACACACAGAACTAGGCGAACCCAAAGCAAGTGATCAACGCAAGTGGCCATATGGTGGTTGCTGGCCATCATCTAAAGTATACCCACAATCCGGCGAGTTTCCAACATGACAATGAAGGAGGGGGTATCTAATAGACCAAAACCGTTCTTTTCTTCTTAGACGGCATCAAGAATTTCATCTCTTCCGTTCGTCGCGGAAGAAAGATGCGATAATAATGATTTGTTTGTTTTTGTTTTTTTCGGCTTTTCTTATGTTTCTTTCGCTGGGGAGGGGGCGTCTGGTCGCTCTCCGGTTGGGTACGGCTTGATTCAATCCGATGAAGCCAGTACATTTTGCTCAAAGGCAGAACTAGGGGTGGCAGTGCATGCCCAAAGCAATCCATGGGTGTCTGATTCCCGCCCAGCGCACATGGCTGGAAGAAGAGGATCCATCGTAGGCCGTTCATCCTGCTATCTCCGCTTTTCAGCGTGCAGTAAACTCGCGGCGTCGCCGACTTGCTTGCGCTCGGAGACTTCCCGAGTGCGCATCCGGGCACGGACACGTTCGATGTTCATGGGCGTCAATCCTTGGGATGGTGATGGTGATGGATCCGGTTCCGAGTAGAAAGGATGCAGTCTGTGGGAAGTAGAGAACCGGACACGACCATCCCTCATGACTGGTAATTGTCATTGCAGGGGTTCCGAGCTCGAGGAGAGGCGGTTCAGGTGGAGGTAGACGTCTGTCCCGTACCTGTGATGTTGTCAGTTATCATCTCGACTCCCTCTTCCATTGGGCTCGGAAAATCTGGTACGCACCCCTCCATGCTGATCAGCTTCAGATCACCACCAAAGTACCGAGCATACAGACGACTGATCGGAAGACCGTAGCCGAACCCAGCCATGGGGGCCTTGAAATCGCTCTTGTCAAAATCGGGGTCCAGACTCGGCGTTTGCTCGACGGTAGTATACATGTACGTCCAGACCAGGGGGATGGCAGAACGGGGAATACCACCACCTTCGTCAGAGATCTTGATGGTGATGTCTTCCTTTCCTTCCGCGATGATGACCTTGGTGACCGGGAACGTGTCTCTGTCCACGCCGTTGGCTTCCACCACCGCCCGCAGGGAGTTCTTCAGGGTCTCAAAGAGCATATGCGACAGATGGCCCGGCACATACATGAAGTTCAGGTCCTCTTTGCACACAAGCTGCACTTTGGGGGCGTCAAACAGTCCGTAGTAGTCCTGGCAGACAAACCGGGCGTTTTCGATCGCCTCAAGGGCTATCTCCCGTACATTGGTCTTCGTGCAGATGATTCCGACGTAGTGTGGATGTTTTACGTGAGTCTGTTCGGTCAATGCAATATGCTGCCCGATTAACATTCGTATCCCGATCCTTGACATGTAGAAACGATCGAGGAAGGATTGCACAGTCGAGTCGATTTGCAGGCGTTGGCGCTTTCGCTTCCATTCGAGAATGCCCTGGGCCACCGTCGTCACGACGCTGTCATGTCTCCGCTTGATCTCCTTGAGTGTCTGTGCGAATCGCTCGTTGTAGTCATTTAGCTCCGGCGGCCAATTTCCTTGATCATCGGATGGTGCATAATATCTTCGAGCGGCCGCAGCTTTGCCGTTTCCATTTCCATTTGACGTAGATGACGGGGACGATCGGTACTGTCCTTCGCGGATGCTGGGGTTCTGTGTGACTTCCGAGAGGATCCTCGAAGACCCGCCATTCAGTCTTCCCGGGCGCAGCAGGCGGGCCTTGACTTCCTGGGTGAGGGTGGGTCGCGGCAGCGTAATGATTTCCTGCCGGGGACGTCAGCTACAACTCCGGCGGACAGGACTACGGAAGGCGGTGGGTGAGTCATACCTCGAACGACTGTGCGTACCAATCCTGAACTTTTTTAATCGAGGGCATTTCACTGAGTCCGTCAGGGAGTTCTCCAAGATCTTGAACCCGATGTGCGAGGCGAATCGGTAGTTCTTCTGAGAGGAATTGCGAGGCGCGGAACAGAGTGCCTGTAGGCGGGTAGCCGATTACGAGGTCAGCCGATGTCGGTCATCTCTCCAGCGTCGTGAGAACGGGACAGCATCTCAGCCTGCGCGAGCACATGTATACCCACCTACTGAAGGTCTGTCTCCAAATTGAACCATTTGTCGGAGAGAGACGCCGGTCGCTGGAAAGCTGGCATAGTGTCTGATGGTGTCCATCAGTCTCTCCGACGGCTTCCACATGATGTAACGGTATCAGGCCGGAAGGCCTGGGATTGCGCTGGTCAAAACCAATGTGATAGGGAAAATACTATCGCACAATGACAGCTACCGAGTAGAATAGGGTGTTGTCAGTAAAAGCAAAGTTGAGAAGAATGTAGAAGACTGTAAAGGGAACTACCGAGGTTGGGGAATCCCCTCCGTTTTGCAGGCGAGCTCCGGAACGGCGGGCGGTAAGAAGCCCCGGAGTGGGATCTCAGTGTGGGATGGTACCTTGGGGGGTGACGATGAGTCACAAGAACCCAAGGAATTTGTGAATGTATGGGGGGGTGATGAAGATCGATCTAGGTGCGCACACGAGCAGTCTGGGGAAAAAGAGAGGGGAGAAGAGAGGGAAGGGAAAGGGAAAGGAAGAATGCGGGCAGAGGGAAGTAAGTAGTCAGTTTAGTCAACTAAGCTCCGGCACGACTGGACTGCCAGCAAGCAGTTGTTGCGGAGATTCTGTGCAATTCCCGGGGGGGTGGAGTCACGTGTCATGGTGGGGGGAAAAGACCGCTTCCGGTCCCGTGATGGGCCGAGGAAGAGTCATCAGCCGATGATAACCAACTAATTCATCTACCACTGTGTATAGTAGTTTCAACCACCCCCCATGGTCAGACCATGTCTGACATTTCAACCATGCAAAGCTAGCTCTATCGATTTCTCGACTTGGCTTGAGTTAAACGTTACTCCCTTACAGGCTTACACCACCACAACCACCGCCACCATCACCACCGATTCACCACCGCCAAGACCTGTCACTCAGTGCGGAGGAATTGCCGGTGCAATAATGAGCTGCACGTTGCAACGTCCCGGATCTCCCCTTCGTCCGAGGATGGTTCGACGCGGCACGACGCTCATACTCCGACTGGTCAGCCACGCTGACTCTCAGGGAAAAACAGAGGAAGGACTCGCTGTCCACCACCACCCGGCCCTCTCTTTAATTCTTCATTCTGATCCGTGTCCCTGGTCACTGGTTTCTTCCGTCACACTCCGTCGAGGTACCTGATTAGGTTTCTTGCGTCCGGGGTTCTCGTTCATGCTTCCCGCGGTTCTTTAAGGTTCAAGACAAGCTTGTGTACATCTCGTGTCCCCCCGGATTCTTAGTATGCAAATGTCACCACTACACTGGAAGCCGGTTTCCCCTTTAACCCTCCCACCTTCCCCCCCACCCCCCCTCCCTTTCCCCCCTGTTGGTCGCTTCCCAAGTCATCTCTATTTTGAGTAACTCACATGTTTCCGAAACAAACACAACAATCGTCTAGAATCCCCGGGTGATAGCTTGCCGGGAATGAAGCATTTCCGCTCCACCTGGAAAACTCCCCAAGGAATAACGGTTCAATGACCGTAGTCTCATGTAACTCCCCTCGACTTTAAATCGCGTCTGGCAAGAAAACCAGTATTTATCGGTAACCGCGGCGGTGAGATCTCACCGATGAGATCGTCGCGCGGTAACAGGAACATTTGTCGTTCCCCGGATGGTCGATATGAACCAGGAAAAAGCAATGGCAAAAAACAAGCGAAGGATTTATTTAAACAAAGGGCGCGGCAACGGTGATCACCGTGGACTGCTGTTCTTACTTTAGTTTTCAAGACCTCGATTGGAGCCAATCACATCTAGCCAGGGTGCCAATAATGGTGGGTTGATAGGATCAGCATCGAGGTAGCTATACCACGACATCACACTCAGTCGCATAGGGCTGGGAAGGCAAAACAAAAAGAAGAAGGATTAAAGCCGATGCCCAACCATACCTCTGATCCTCTATTCCGACTGGATCTAGTTCATCATGTCGTCGTCATGCTCGACGACGCCGGCACTGATGCCTTAGACCCGTCGAACAAAAGTCCCTGGAGCAAGCAGGGCCACGCAAAGGGAACCCTGCGATCTCTCAATCCTTGTTCACCACCACTACTACTACCACCACCACCACCCCTAGCATAGGTCTGACAACGACCGACTCTAGACTCCTCGTCGCTCGCTGAACGACATCATATAACTACAGCAGAAGGTTGAGCAAGACCAGACCATGAATCTTCGTTTTGCTTCCACCCAAAACCTTTTTTTTATAGTGGAGTCTCGTTAGGTCTCGTTAACTTTTTGACACTTGTCTGGCCCACCAACCAGGATACCAATTGTCCGTTGAGAGTATTCCGCCAGATCATATAAGTGGTTGTCACCGCACCGTGCGGTGGACTGACCGTTCGGGCACTCGAGCAACAACAAAAGGAGCAATTAGGGGGAGCTTCCTCCGGAATCTTTATAATCTTTACTTTGCTCTCAACGTCCGACCTGTTCGCAAGATTTTCTCCTGTCTGAAGCACTCCAAGTCTACACCAATCTGCTCGACCCTAGAGCGCTCCGCGCATCCGGCCGATTGCGTTGTTGATACAAGGTAAGTGAGAGGCTCCATTTGATATGCCGGATCGATTTCTTACTCCGAGGCGCCCGTTTATTTGTGTGTGGGTGGATTGGATTTCTTATTATCTACCGTTATTATGAGTTAACCCGTTTGTGGACGCGGACGGATCTTGAGACCCATCGAACCAGTTCGTTGACTTACAGAGGATCTTTTCCTAGACTGTTTTCTTTTTCTTTGCCCACTTTAGTCGTTCATTTCATATTTTGACGGGCTGGTGGGCGACTTGACATCTTAAACTTGAAAAAGGAAAAAAGAAAAAATGGGGTGGGCTATGATGCAAAAATGCGCCGCCGCATGACATCGAACCCTCGTTTTTTCCTTCTCCATTGGTGTATTTTCTTCTAATATTTTTTTATTTCGAATATTTTGCTTTTATTTTTTTTTTGTCTTTTTTTTTTTTTTTTTTTTTTTGGCCTTTCACTTTTTGTTGTTCCTCTACTTCAATTTCTAGATTTCGTTTGGGTGTTCTGGACTGCACTCTATTTTTTTTTTTACCCACCATCTTCTTTCTGTGGAAAAATGTTTTGGTTTCAACTGTCGTTCCATTCTGATGGTTAATGCTGTGCCTCTAATCTTTTTAACTTGGGTCGTGCACTTACTGATCACCAGCCAAAGACCCGATAGGGAGGATCCGCAACTTCTCCAGCATTACCTTTTCCGCGCTCATGCTACCATTGATGCCGCAATTCAGCCCATAACTGGCTCGGATCCAGTCTATTAGCCCCTCCCATGATTACTACTATCTTTCCCTTTTAAGCCGATTTCTGCCCGGTTCATCCACTGTGCGCGCCTGTGGCTAAGACCTTGGAGGCTTCGTATTGGTTAATTCGCAGGGGGCATTGTGAAGATTGCAAGACCCCCAAGGGAAAAGTCACGAGAGAAGAGAAATAGAGGACAAGAAATTGCACGTGGGGCAATTGAGTGCGACGACTGTCTATCAGCCAGCCCTTTGACAGAGAGAAAGAGAGAAAGAGACAGAGAGAGAGAGCGAGAAAGAGAGAGACAAGCCTAACGCATCAGAGCGAGACAAGAACTGAGGAGAAGGGAACGGACATCGAGTGAGAAGGAAAAGAGGGACTGTCACAAAGTCGGAGGATTCACAGAATCAAAAGCCACAAAAAGGAGGACGAAGAAAAGACAGGCGCCTGACGTCCTGACCGTTTTGTGCCCCTCCTTGGTCTCAGGTCTCATCAGCATCGCCGTCATTCTGTGCCGCGCCTGGATTCGTCTCCAGTACTTTGACTATCAAACCTCACCCCTCCTTCCGGATACCCCTCGGGCTGTTTGGCGGGGCTCATCTCCTCAAGTTGCGGGCCTTCATGGTCTGCTCGGTCTCCTGTTCTGCCACGCAGTCTTTCGTTACCCTAAAGCAAACGGAAACCCCCCCTCCCCCAGAAAGTCATTGTCCTTCCCAGCAGATGCATCTTCCCTAAACCCTCCTCTCCTTGTACTACCATCCCTCCCCCCCAGCTGCAAGTGCATGTAAAGAAAATCCTGTTTCCCCCTTCCCCAATATGTCTCGTCGACGTGCTTCTCATAGCGAACCAATGGGCTTATCATCCGCGATGAATGAGGCGTTTGCCTATCCGTTCTCTGGTACGCAGCAGAACAATGCTCCACCACGACGGGGTCCGATCGAGGGACCCAACGGACGAAGGTTGATTCGTAGAGTCACCTGGCGATCCTCCACATACAAATTGATGGCATGTCTATGGGTGTTGGGTGTCTTTTATATTGTCTGGCTCATCCGAGACATCTTCTATTTGCCTTTCACTCCTTCGCCGAAGGGCCCCATCCACCCCGAGTCTCAGACCGAGTAAGTTCGGGCCCTGCCGTCCCTTTTCCCTGGCTTCCCGCGAGTCAGTTGATGGCCAGAGTTACTTATTCAGCCCGTCCTGATACATACTTTAGTTTACTGGCGCATTATGTGGGTCGACGAGAATGCGGCATCTCTTCGCAGTCACTCTACAATACCCCGTCCACCGGGGATGGCCGTGCATCCCATCCCCTGTACTGTTCCACCCGTGATGCACTGCTCAGTGCCATGAGCAACGGGGGTCGTCATGGTTTCGATGCTGCATACACCTCCCAAGGCAAGTGAACCGATTACAGTGACCCCGCCGTCAGGCGGAACCGTCCGGGAAATCCTTTCAGACAGCAACCTATCCTTCGGGACCCTCTAGCTGACTCACATCATCTAGATTGTGCCTATCACTGGTACTCTAGCCTTGAGGTGTGTGAGATCTTGCACAGGTTTGATGGAGTTATATTTGTGGGGGATGATGCCTTGGCCGACGCCTATGCGGGGTTCAACATCCTTCTGCGAGAAAACCTAGCGACCGGCTCTCTGAAAGATTGGGACATGGATAAGGACTTGAGGCAGCAATGTAGATGCGAGTCTCAATTCACTCAAGCTGCTTGTCTACCGCTGCGCATCACCTCGAGTGAGGAGGTGTACGCACAAAACGGCGGCCCTGCCATGCGAACTCCATACTCGTGCCCCTCCCGTGAGTAATCTCTTGGTTTTGCGATGCTCCAGGCTCTATTTAGGGCTCAGATGTTGACATCGGATTAATTCTAGGTGTATCTCATGCTTTCCTCCCCGCTGATGGGTCCACGGCTTCCAAGAGCACCCACGACCACTTCCGCCGCCTGACCGGAAGAGCGACTGACCGAAGCAAGCCTGTCCCTGTTATCCTGAGTCTCTCGCTTGCAACGTCATACTCTCTACCAGCAGCCCAGAAGAGCATGGACGAATGGATGTCCATGGCCAAAGCAACCAAACACAGCACACCTTTCCTCTGGGTGGGTCCCACCGCTCCTGGTCTCCGGAAGGACGCCAGGGACAACATCTACGCATCCAGCTGGCAATACTCGCAAGAAACTATCAAGGAAGCTCGTGCTCGCGGCATGGATGCTTTAGGGGTGTATAATGCGACCTTGCAGGCCGATAGTTGGGACGGAAAACACTATGGCGAGCAAGTTGCACTAGTGCAAGCAATGATGGTATGCCACGCCCTGCTCCTACTTTTGGTTGGAACAATCTTGGGAACTAATGATACAAGATTGTCAACTGGCTATCGACTCTCTGAACAAGTATTTGCTGGATCCACCAACCGTGGCACTGATTCGACTTTCGACTGCGGGAGAGACACAATCTGGTGAAAAGGTCTGATGAGGATGACCTTGAGTGAACGCAAGGAAATACATATGATATAAGACCACGGCATGGTGCGTTTCTCTTACAGTCCTCATGTTACATGTTCGTGATTGCCCTGCATGTTAACCCACTTATGCCATTATGCATGTCATCCCCGCCTCACCACATGGCCTATTACATTCCCTGACACCCTAACCAGACACTGCCGTTTTGCTAACGTGAGCTTTTATTCCAGCAGTAGCTCCACCCCAGCACGGACATATCCTAGGGCATCGCTCCAGTTGCCCTGTTCTCTGATCACTTCTTTCAAACCCTCTCCATAAGTTCATACTCGCAAACATCTCGACTCCATTTCCCTGCTCTTTCCCATTTGTAGGATGATTCTTCGGGGTAAAAAGTCCTTTGTGCTGATACTCCACCCTTGCGTTCGGCTTACTGTCTGTCTATTCTGTTGTGTTCAGTTTCGTTTAGTTTCATCTGTTTCATCTGTTCAGTTTTATTTTCGTGTTGCGCAATTTCTTTGTGGGCGGATAAGAATTTTATAGATAGACTATGACATTACGACTTTCAAACTGATCTACTGGCAACTGCAGTGCCGTCCACGGTTCACCCGAGGCCCCGTCCTGGCGTCAGGTCCACGGGTCACGGGTCCCGTGTCCAGGTCCGGGTCTCGGGGGTGCCAGACTGGGCTCAGGCTGGGCTTGTTGGTTTTCTTTCCTCACTGGGAAGGTTTCACAAGGGCTCTCTCCCTCTCTCTCTCCGAGTTGTTATTTTTCTTCACTTTTTCTTTTTTTTCTTTTTTTTTTTCCCTTCCTCGTTCTATTTGTTTAAACGTCTGCTTGCCTTATTTTCAAGGTTTGTCCAGGGGGGTCATATCTACTCAACTCTTGGATTATATAATGTGTAATTAGTGTCTATCTCAATTCTTTGCTGGAAGGCCCGCTGCTCCTACAGATTACAAAGTCTAATCTGCTCTTTCAACTCAATATCTCATCTCGACAATCAAACGGATAATACTCCTTCCATATCATGATTAAGGTTGAAACGTATATACATAACCCGTTTCAGAAACGTGACCTCCAATCCTTCCATAGTTCTGATCCATGCTAGAACACCCACCCCTACATCCGGACCCTGCCTTTCTTTCTTCCCTCTTCTTTGTTTTTCTTTTTAAGATCAAGACGGCAAATCCTGCACAAGCTACCAGAACCAGAAGAAACTTTTCTTGCTGCCTTGTCTACACGTCACAGAGACGACCCCCGTAAACAACTCACAACCATACGGTCAACAATCTATACATACAAAGCAGCAGTCTCCGCCTTAGCGAGCTGCGCCTCATAAGGCTGCAGGGCCTTCTTGACCTCGGTGGAGGTGAACTTCTCCACCTGCTGCGGGGCACGACCGACAAAGGTGCTGGGGTCGAGGAGCTGGTCTAGCTCGTCCAGGATGGGAGCGAAGAAGGCGGTGCGGCGGACGCGGTCGAGGAGGTCGTTGTCCTTGCCGTGCTTCTTGACGTTGTCGGCGGCTTGGTGAGAAAGGACGCCTGCGGGGCCATTGGGTTAGATTGAGAAGGGGCAGGGGGAGGTGTAAATGGGGTAAAAAAGAGGTTACGTACGGATTTCCTCGTGGGCGTCCTGGCGGGAAAGACCCTTCTTGACGCAGGCCATGATGATCTGAAGTGTTGTTAGTATTATTGTTGTTGTGATAAGAGAGGAGTGTGTTGGGGTGAGGGTAATTGGTTTTGTCGGGCGAGTCTTACGTTCTCACTGTTGATGGTTTGTTAGCTGGGGTTTTCCAACTGTGGGAGTAAGAAAATACAAGACTTACGTGGCCATGAAAGGAAGCTCATCGTTGACACGACGCTTGATGACCTCGGGGTAGACGACGAAGCCGGAGGTGACGTTGTCTGTAAGATTGTTGGTCAGCATCTTGACGTCGTCGGGGCTGGAACCTGTAACTTACTCAGGAGGATGAGACAGGCGTCAGCGGAGAGGTAGAGCTCGGGAATGCTGATACGGCGGATGGCGCTATCGTCCTGTTCATTGGCTGTTAGAGAGGTTTCGTGTTGTAGAAATAAGGACTGTAACTTACTAGCGAGCGCTCGAACCACTGGGCGGAGTAGGTGTCCAAACCGTCCTTGGGGAGGTTTTGAAGGTGTCTTCCGAGAGAGCACAGGCGCTCAGAACGCATGGGGTTACGCTTGTAGGCCTGTGAAAGGACAAGCTGGTTAGCCATTGTTCAGTAGCTCGACATTGAATGCTGTAGCTCACCATCGCGCTGCTGCCAATCTGATCCTTCTCAAAGGGCTCTTCGACCTCCTTGAGCATGGCCAAGTGGCGGATATCGATACCAATGCGCTCGCAAGTGGCACCGAAAGAGCCCAAGGCATTGCCCACATCGACGTCGATCTTGCGGGAGTAAGTCTGACTGGAGATGATGAAAGCAGAGTCGAACCCGGCCTTCTTGGTGACCAGCTCATCCAGCTGCTCGACCTTGTCGTGGTCTCCGTTGAAGATCTGGAGGAAAGAGGCCTGAGTACCGGTGGTACCCTTCACACCACGGAAGCGCAAGTCATCGCGGGCTCTCTCGAGGTTGCGCAGGTCCATGAGCAGGTCCTGGATCCACAAGCAAGCTCTCTTGCCAACGGTGACGAGCTGAGCAGGCTGACCGTGGGTGAAACCCAGGCAGGGCAGATCCTTGTACTGCTTGGCGAAAGCAGACAGCTTGTCGATGACGACGGCAAGCTTGGGGATCAGGATATCGAGACCGTCGCGGAGGAAGATCAGGTCAGCATTATCCGTGCAGTAGCACGAAGTAGCACCCCAGTGGATGATACCAGCGGCAGCGGGAGCGACCTGGCCATAGGCATGGACGTGGGCCATGACGTCGTGTCTCCGACGCTTCTCCTCCTCCGCGGCAACCTGGAATTCATCGTCCTGAATGACCAGGTGAGCCTTCATCTGCTCAATGGCCTCATCCGAGATGGCCAAACCGAGTTCTGGGAGAAGGGGCCTTCCGATTAGTCGGCAGCTCGCAGACTGCGGTATGGAGAGAGAGCTGTGCACAGCAGCAAAGGATAATCACCTTTTTCCGACTCGGCAAGCCACAGCCACAGCTGTCTCCAGGTAGAGAAGCGGTTCCGGGGAGAGAAGAGGTACTTCATCTCATTGCCTGAACACCCAAACAACAATTAGTCCGATATCGCTCCGGCTGGCGGGTATCGTCAAGGAGGTGTTGGGAGGGACTTACTCGCATAACGCGAGTTGAGAGGGGTCTGGTAGACATCATTGCTGGAAGACATCCTGTCAGAAGTGGACCGAAATGGTTTCCACAGGAATTGAAAGGTGGAGAAGAAGTGAAAGGGTTTAAGGGACTAGAGAAGTGTGCGTGAAGCCAGGAAAATTTACAGCGGGCAGAATGACTCTTAGCGGGGTCTCCGCTTATCAGTCACGTTATCATCAGGAGGGGCTAATCATCACATGACGAGCCCAGCGCGGGGGAAAACGCACGACCCCTTTTATTCTTTTGGTCTACAATGTACACTTCGATGAACTGCTAGTTACTGACAATGGTAGTATCTCAGGACATCAGATCATGAGATAATCTATCTAAAAATAAGACATTATGAAGAAGTGTATATCAGCCAAATCGCCCTCCTTCTCACTCAGACAGATCAGACGTGATCATCAATGTTGTCAGTCTCCTGCATTCGGCACGGCATACCCCACAGTGACCGATGCGGGTTTTGTCCGCATTCATGCCAGCGCTGCCAATTGCGCAGACAAGCTTCCTTTGTCGTATTTGACATACTTGCCTCTCCCCTTATCTATCTCATGGTACCGGTCCCAGAATCGCGCGTAGAGAGGCTCTAGGACTGCCTGCACTTCCCGAGCCAGAACGCCGCGCACCTCACGCTCCATGTAAAGAGCCTTGTGACGAGCGACCAGGTCATCAAAGCTAGCGTTGAACGCCTTAAATTTGTCTTTAATCGCATCCTTATCTTTGGACGACAGGGATTTGACGATTGCGCTGGAGTCAACGGCACCTCCAGACGCTGGTCTACCGGAACCACGGGAAGTGTACTGCACGTCGAGAAGAAAGTGAGAAGTTTCCTTCCAAGCATCGAGGTATGTTGAAGTGGCCCGTTTGCGGAAGGAGTCGATCCGTGCAATGCTGTCTCCAGAACCGAGATATCTTGCTAGCTCTGGGCTGGACCTGATAGAGCGGTCCACGGTGCAAAAGACATTTGACAAGAACACTCCCTGTACGGCCTTGGAGCGGTGCAGCGCTCGACCTCGTGCCTCAAGCGCAATCATCAGGGCTTCGATCATGTCAAGAATGAAATGCGACAAGAGCGTCGAACTATCTGGACTAACATCCAAGGGGGTAGTCGCCGCGTTTGCCGTTGAATGCCAGTTTCCGTCACCCAAAGAAGTTAGAATCGAGGCAAGCGGTCCGGAGTAGCCAGTCAATGTAGTTAATGAACTCATCACCTCATTCACGAGAGGTACGGATCCACCGTCTGGAGGAAGCATAGAAATGCTTCCAGCCTTGCGCTTCGTTTCTTCGAGGAGCTCCGAGAGGGATGACTTGGCCGTTTCACGGACTGGCCTGAGAGCTTCGATGAACAAGCTCTTCAGCTCGCCTGTCTTCGAGTCGACACGATACGACATTGCAGTGACAATTTCGATAATTTCGAAAGCCAAGAAACAGTCCGTCATCAAGTTGGCTCGGATGTAGTGATTGAGCTCACGAAGTGTTTGTGAGTACTCAGTTAAGGCCGAGCGACATGTCGCCTGCAAAGCCAGACCGCGTTCTCCTCCGGTAAATATTCTCACGATCATGTCATGTTCCGTGTATATGAAGCTCTCCAATGCGTTTGAATAAATTCCGATACCATTGGTACCTTGTCGATAAGGACCATCTGCAGCTCTGCGCTTGACTGTGTTCAAAGAGGCTATGGCGAGGTTCTGCAAGCTTGCCGTTATATATGGTCCGCGAATATCGGAATAGATCTTCAGCGCGGGGTTTCCGCCGTCTCGCTGGGGTCCATAGCTTGCTGCAGAGGCAATGGTGGCGCATACGGGTCCTAATTCAGTAATGACGTCGTCGGGCAGCGAAGGAAATGGGAGCTCTGCGCGTAAAGAATAGGATATGTCAGATTGATCCATCGAGTTTATCGGATGATTGCTCACCTTTTGTTAAGTAGTGCAATGGTTCAATAGCACCGACATTCTCGCCCAGCCTGCTGCGGAGCAAGTCCTGAAGTTGCGAATTACCGATACTTAGTAACGAGTTGAAGTCCGTGATCGCTTTCTGGTTGGACCTCAGATTTGTCGAGTTCAAATCTTCTAGCGCCTTTTCCACACGTCTTACAGCCGAAAGATACTGCGAGACTCCGACACTCTGAGGACTTGTATGGGGTCAGCAAGATGGCAGCAGGCGGCAGCGGGGTCCGCGAGGGGGTGCATACTCAGAACGAATAATGCCTTCTTCTTGACCTTTGGCACTGAGAGGTTGGCGCAGGCGCTCGATGGCTTCATTGACTTTCTCGATATTGCTATTGGTGATCTGCAGGGATTGGGTATTGCTGTAGATAGGACCGATGGCATGCTTGACCACATTTCCGCCCGTCTCCAGGCGCACTAAAGAGCCCTGAATTTTTTTCGTGAGAAGCTTCAGCTTCTCGAGGTTGGCGTAAAGCACCTCAACCTCTGCACTCTCCTCAGCGTATGCGGCGTTCCTAGGAGCAACCATGGTGAGAGAGGAGGACTCGATCGGCCGGATCCACAGAGCATCAGACAATCAGGGATGCGTAAATGAACTGGACTGGACAATAACAGAGAGACGTCATTCCTCGCTCATTCAACACGGTAGGGGGAGGATAACAACAAGATAAGGGGAATACGATTAGGCGCACGTCAGAAGATTCAGAGCTAGCCAGCGAGGCACCTGGCCTCATGAAACAAGCATGACAGTTGGATTGATGAACTGTGAAGTTGATTGATTAATCGGAAGTTGCCCCTTCCACTAACCAACTAACTTAACTTATCTGCCCCGGACACTGGGTGGGCGGGAGCAATTGCCAACTGGTAAACTTCCTGCTGCTATTACTTACTAACTTATCATTTGCTGCTGCGATGGGTCCGCAATGTGCGCTAGCCTCGAAGTGGAAATCTCGGCCCGTCCTGCATACCGGAGCTGAACAAGATCACATGATATGATGTAACGACTTCATTTCCTCCCACCAGCCCAACGGCGCAATCCGTCGGAATCAAGAGCGGAATTTGCTTAAGTAGTACCTGATCGTCGCGGTCTGGCCCTGTCCCTCATTATGGACTTTATCGTTGCATGCTGCCCGTCACTGTTCCTCACCTCCTACGGAGTACCCATCTCACAATGGGTGCTGCGAAGGCATCGCGCCTACACTGGACAATTCCCCCTACCTTCCTGATCGCCCTGGGCGGCGGGGTGCTTTATGTCGCTGGCGGCCGATCCCTCTCAAATAAGCAACTCCTGCTGCACGCGGAACCGAAATCACTTTTCTCTACGAGCTCTTTCGTCTTCTCGGACAAGGACTCAAAAAAGACCTCGTCACTCAGCGATTACCTGCCTGGACATGGCTCGAAACAAGATACGCATCATAGTGATGCAGGGTCGATTTGGACCAACATCATGGGAAAGTTTGAGGGCGTCAAGCTCTCAGTCGGCACTCCGGATTGGATAGAGTTAGAGAATCTGAAAAACTACATTATCCCCGATTGGACCCGTTTGCTGCCTGCATCGGTACAGAAACTCCAACGGGAGCTATCAATGGCCCCTGGCTCACTTGCCGACGAGATCTGGAAGGAAGCACACGATCCAGACATCAACCCTGAAATCTTACGAAAAGCGAGAGTCCGGGTCGGTGATACTCTGTGTGATGAGGAATTGGCGTACAGAGAGAGACGCCGGAAATATGCCGTTACAGCCCTTGCGTCCTATCTCAATATCGACGCAGAGGACATTCATCCCGACGATGTCCCAGTCATAGCTATGTGTGGCTCAGGGGGAGGTCTCCGTGCCCTAGTGGCCGGCACGGGCTCGTATCTTGCTGCTCAGGAAGCCGGGCTTTGGGATTGCGTGACTTACACTGCTGGAGTAAGTGGAAGCTGCTGGCTACAGACATTGTACCATTCGTCCATTACAGGGCGTAATTTCAACAAACAGGTTGACCACCTGAAAAATCGGTTGGGAATTCACTTGGCATTTCCTCCCGCTGCTCTCAAGCTGCTCACCACCGCACCCACCAATAAATATCTTCTGAGCGGATTGGTCGAGAAGCTCAAGGGTGACCCCGGTGCCGACTTCGGCCTGGTCGATATATACGGCATGCTATTGGCTGCAAGACTCTTAGTACCGAAGGGCGAGCTGGGCGTCTGTGATCGTGACCTCAAATTGTCCAATCAAAGGTACAATCTCACCAATGGGGCCCATCCACTTCCTATCTACACTGCTGTTCGCCATGAAATCCCCACGGTTGATATCCACGATGAGAATGGGAAACTCTCCAAGGCCGAAGACCTCATCCAAGAATCAAAAAAGGAAGCCTGGTTCCAATGGTTCGAATTCACGCCATACGAGTTCTTCTGCGAGGAACTCGGTGCAGGTATACCCACTTGGGCACTGGGCAGACACTTCTACAATGGAGCCAATGTCAAGCGCGAACAGATCTCGCCCATCCCTGAACTCCGTGTTCCAGGCTTGATGGGGATCTGGGGTAGCGCATTCTGTGCTACGCTGTCCCACTACTACAAAGAGATAAGACCCGTCGTGAGGGGCATTACTGGATTCGGCGGCATTGATTCCTTGATCCAGGGCAAGACGAAAGACCTCATCCGTGTTCACCCCATTGACCCAGCCGCGATTCCGAACTATGTCCTAGGAATGAAGGACCAGCTGCCCGCTTCATGCCCCGATTCGATCTTTCAGAGCAAGCACCTGCGTCTCATGGATGCAGGTATGAGCAACAACCTTCCCATCTACCCGCTACTCAGGCCCGGCCGAGACGTTGATGTGATCATCGCCTTCGACGCCTCCGCCGATATCAAGCGTGAGAACTGGCTCTCCGTCGTGGACGGCTACGCCCGTCAACGAGGCATCAAGGGCTGGCCGATTGGGGCCGGCTGGCCCCGCGAAAGTGAAGAGCCCAAGATCACCGAGGAGACGCTCCGCGAGCCGCAAGAAATTTCCGAAAATGAGATCAACAAGAGGATGGCCGAAGCCAAAGACAAGAGCCGTCAGCCGTCTTCTTCTTCTCCCTCTGGTTCTCCTTCCATGTCGGACAGAATCCAATCAGGGCTCGCGCAGAGCGCCGATTCCACCGCCGACCCAGCAGCTGCCAACAACCAAGACACCCCTACAACCACCACCCCAACCACCACGGACCTCGACTACTGCAACGTCTGGGTCGGCACGAAGCAGGAACTGTTATCGGACCACGAGCCCCCACCATCCAAACGGCTCTTCCAGCCGGGCCACCCGGACAGCGACCACTCCGAATCCGACTTCCACCTCATGCGGCCCGATGCAGGCATCGCCGTCGTCTACTTCCCCCTCCTCCACAACCCCTCCGCCCCGCGCCTCCCCGCTTCCTCCTCGCTGAACCCCTCGCGCACCCCGGCCCGCGAGTCCACCAACACCACATCCGCCACCGAGGTCTCCGACCCCACCAAACCCTTGACCCCGTACCCGGGCTCCATTAACCCGGAAGTCGATGACTTCCTCTCTACCTGGAACTTCGTCTACACGCCCGAACAGATCGACTCCGTCGTCGGCCTCGCCAAGGCCAATTTCGCCGAGGGCGAGGACCAGGTCAAACGCGTCGTCCGCGCGGTGTACGAGCGCAAGAAGTCGGACAGGCTTCGGCGGGAGGAGCAGGAGCACCGACAGCGCATGGCTGGCTTTGTTCCGATCTAAACTTGCTGCGTCTAATATATTGGTTAAAGCGCTCGCGGCATGGTTGGTCCACGAAGACCATTTACAGGGTGAGTTGGAATCGGAGTTAATGTGCGCAGACGTTGAATGACTGTTGCATGTAGTGAAGGCATATGGTTCTACTAAACATCAGTCATCTTGACATATTTTTTATTCTGGAAAAGATACCTGTTAGTAGCTTAAGTGTACATAAGTGACATATATACTTCTTTTCCCCTGTGCATTGCTTGCGGTTGGCAGACATGGATAACTTGATATTTGCTATCTATCCTCACAGAAAGAGAAAAGATAGAGTACCGTAGTAACCTGGACGCAAGAATAAGCTCTATGAAAAAGAATGCGCTGTTTTCAGATCGACAAGGCGAGCTGAACTAACCGCCGCCCCCCCCCCCAACTCCGGATCCATATACTCACATCTTATCCACTCTTTTCCTCATCTCTGTTCACAAGAAACCAAATCCCAATAGTAGGAAAAACTGTCCACCGAAAATACAGGACAACACCCGTCCCCCACTTTTCCTCTTCCTTAATCCATCCCAAACTATACATACTACATACAAATTCATCGTGTATGGAATTCGTATACATATATGATGTAAACCAGAAGACGGAAGAATAATGATAACAACAAGAAAAAGACGACGACGGAAAATATTCACATCTACATCTCTACTTCTTCGTCTCCGTCTTCAACTCATCCTCACTACCCGCCAAACTCACATCCTTGCTCTCGTCCGTCTGCTTCCGCAGCCCCAGATGTTTACCCCAGTCCTGCAGCGAGGCTGCGGCCGTGGCCGTAAGCTCGGCGGCGATGGAGTGGTCTGATGCTGTGGAGGATTTGTGGCCGTGGCCGTTGCCCAGCTTGTGCTTGATATGGCCGTGCTGTCCTTTCTTGAGAGGGGACGATGAGGATGATAAGTTCCTACTGGTCTCTTCTGAAGGATCTAGATTCTCCTGCTGATCGGAATCGGTCGCGTGAATGTGCCAGTCCGGTGGCTGGATTTCTGGGGCTGGTTCGCCTGGTTTGGGCTCAAAGATGGGTTGGCCTTCCTCTTGCAGGGTGGTGGTCGCGTTGTTCTCGGTGTCATGTTGTTGTTGTTTGCTAGCATTACCACCGGCTGGACTAGTGGTGGAGGAGGAGGAGGAGGCGTAGCGCCAGACGACCTTGACGCGGTCGAGGGCCTTGACGCCTTTGCGGGTTGTGCCTTTGATTCCGTCTAACGCGTCCCATTCACTGGAGAAGACGCCGGAGTCGTGCTCGTTGCCTCCTTCGAAGTAGGCGTTGAACCAGACGTGGGCGATCGAGGTGACCATCGCCCAGCCCGTGTAGGCGGCCTTGCTGCGGCGTTCGAAGTCGATGTTGACGTCGGAAGTGGGGACGATGATAGGCTGTCGAGGCCGGAAGATGGCGTTGGAAATGTGTTTGATAGGGTTATTTTGGGGTTTGGTCGACGATATGGGTGTAGATGATGGTGGCGATGTTGCCGTCGAATCGACCGTGGCCGAGGAGACCGGGATATCTGAGGTGGAGGAGCCCGTAGGTGACGATCTCGACGATTCTTCCGGACCACTACCACTATTTCTGCTGCTGCTGTTGTTGTTACTGTTGTTCGCCTTCTCTTGCAGCGGATGCGCGTTCTCATTCTTGCTCTCCGGGATCGAGACGTTCATATCGTCGACGACCGTGCGCTCAGTCTTGTGAAATCGATGGAATTGCTTAATCCTCTTCCCCTGGTCCACATACCCCTCGACGGCCACTTTGACCCCATCTCTTAGACCCCAGACATGCACCTCGAGGATCTCGACGGGTCGTTCAATGTACTTCTTCTCCAGCTGATTAGACCACCGATCCACGTAGCCCACCCAGCGCAGCTGGCTGGGTATGCTTACCCCGGCACCGAAACCGACCCTCATGCGGCGCTCCGTGAACCGCTGCAGTGCGTCTTCTGCCTTCCATCCCTCCTGACTGATCAGGTAGCTGCATGCGACGGTCCCGCTGCGGCCCTTGCCCGCCTTGCAGTGAACGACGGCGACTCGATCGGGCTTGTCGCTTGTCAATTTATTGGCGGACTCGGGATCATCTAGTCGGTGGATATAATTGCGCATGCTCCCCGTTATGGCAGGGAGCAGAGCAAAGGGGGGTGGATGGTGGTCCGGCCATGGATAATGGTGGATGCGGCCATAGACTTCGGAGTCCGGGTATCCTGTGCCCTCTGCACGGAACTCCCATATGCACCAGTCGCTACCGTGCTTGGAATCGAGGAAATTTACAAGTGCGTCAAGGGGATTGCGGTATGCGCGTTGCGGGTAATTGGAGGATGGACCGGATGTTGCAATCACTGCGCGGAGCGAAGTGAAGGTTAGTGGTTAGTGTGGAAGTAGTCAGGGTCGGAGAGCATACAGTTGTCCGTCACATAACAGAGATCCAGGCCTGCCTCAGGATGCTGCTGTCGAGGACCGGCAACAATCTGTCGTAGGATCGACGCCTGCGCCGGGGGAATTATGTCATGTCAGGGTCCAGTGTTGACAGTCGCAAGGGGGTGAGAAAAGCTATTGTCCGGGTTGGAGACGTACCATGAGAGTTCGAAAGAAATGTCTATGCTCTTGTAAGAGAAACTTCTTGCTCGAAAATTGATTCCTGACTATGATCAAGAGAACATGCGCGCGCCACTGACCTCGTCATTGGCAGCGCGGTAATTAATGGGAGAGGGATGCACCACGCACGGGCTCTCAACCTGGGGATCCTCTCACGACCCAGAAGAGATAGAAAGATTTGCAAATTATGACGGCGTCCATACAACTAGTCAAACCATTGAAGATTGCCACAGTAGAAGCAACAAGGGGCTGTGCAATTTGGGTGTAGAAGAAGTGGTGAAAGAAAGAGAGAGAGACGCCGGTGATCAGAACCACGCGAGCGATGATGTCACTCCCGCCACCATCAACAATCAGTATATGCACTGTATGCAAAACTGCACACAGTCAACCCTTTGTTCAAAGTGAATTTAAGTTGGAAATTTTGTATTTGTAATTTAGTCATCAATCTTGTCCTGCAGTCACCATCTAGCCACTTGTTGCCCATCATGTAACCAGACATTATTTAGGTAAACAAACCCCCATAACTTACAGTAGCCGTTCGAGTGAATAGTCATCCTGGCCCCATTCATATCCACAATAACAAAAGAAGAAAAGCACACATGGTAATTATATGATACAAAAGCATTCCCGGTATCCCACATGTCTGTTGCATTACCCTCCTGGGGATGTTTTCATCCTATCAAATATCAAACAGTCGGTGAACTTTGCTCATCATATGATACAGCCTCTAGGCGACGCCATACTCCTCGGTAACGGGGATGGTGAACCGCGGCGTGGAGGAAGTGACATTGGTCTCTCCAAAAGCATAGAACTCGGCGTCGCCAGTCTCAATCCACTCGTGCTCGACGCGAACATTCCATAGCGGATACGGCTCGGCCTTGACGCGAGACTTGATCAACGGGTTCTGGCAGGAAACGAGGTCGTCTGAGCTCTCAGTGGTACCGGAGCAGCTGGTATTGAAGCCAGGGGTGTACTTGGTGGCAATGCCCAGGATGTTGAAGTTGTAGACACAGCCTCCCGGCGAGCAGCCGGTGGTGAAGTTGGACACATGCCAGGTCAACGCCGCGCTGTCACGGCGGCTGGGATAATTCATGGGGGAAGCCGAGGTGAGGCTCAGGGTGGAGAGCGCAAGACCGAAAAGAGTCGTGAGTTGCATATTGATGAGAGTAGAAGGTTGAGCGGGTAAATTAGGGTTGATAAGATAGAATTGAGTTGTGTCCTTGGAGCCTGGCGACAACGAGGTATGTATGGTATGTTCGCACGTGGGATGGGATGTGATGATATGTCCGACAGGAAGAAGACGAGCACCAAGCCCGGGGATATTAAGTATTATCAGAGAGTACTGAGGAAATGGGATGACACGCAGAGGCAAAAAGGCAAAAGAGGAAACGGATGATGAAATCGTGATGCAGAAAGGGGAGGGAAAGAGGAATGTAGCGAGCAGCGATGGGCGACTTGATATAACTTCCCAATTCTGGTGTAGACAACGACACCAGCAGGGGGAAAGCACAGATGGGACGGACCCTCGACTCCGTCTGGAGCTGTTGCTTTTCTTAGAAGCTGCTGCAAAAATAAAGCAATCCTGATGCGGCGGGAGGAGCATTTCGACCCCAACAGTGGAGCGAAGCCAACGTTGAAACGAACCACACTGGCAACAGGAGCAACTCATTGGCCCGAGGGTGGCTGATCGCGCGGAATTTGAGCGAAGATCCCCTGGGACTTTTTGCTCTGCCCACCTGAATCGAAGAACAAGAATCTCTACTTCAATTAGCGTGTGACGGACCATGGTTGCACAACAGACGGTGAGGGAGAAGACTATGCTTGAATCATGTCTCCATCCTGATGTTGTTGTGGAGGTGGTGAGGCCCCTGTATGTACTGTGTATGTCCTGCACACAGGTGGATTAGAGTGGTGCACATGTTGCGAACAAACAAACAAACAATCTATGATGAGGTGGTCAGCCGATCTCAATCTAACGCCGATTGCCTTAAAAATCATAGTTACCAGCATCATACAAGGTTGGACCAACTTACCCATGATCTCAACCACGGAGTCGACAGCCAAACCTCAAACTGCTGGTCCCGGCGGGAACTCCGGGCGCGAGCAATGGAGGTTTGACCCTGAAGCGCCCGCCGTCTCACATGCAAGCTTAAATCTTCGGGTCTCCGGGAACTTCATGTTGGATAAAACCCCTAGCGTGGTCAGCTAATTGACCTCCTGTCTCATGCACCGTGCCGGTGCTTACGTGCATGCAATGGCATTTTGGACTGTTGTGGTTGTTATCCCAAATGGTCTTCATAATCAATGCATATAACTAGACCAGAGAACATCAAGTCATCTTTCAAGGGGCCAGCAAGTAAGCCTTCCCTACTATTGTGCATGGATGGCATGTCTAGCTAGAAGTACATAGAGAATGAGTTGCCAATCCACCTCTGGGGTTAGTCGCGAAAGAGACCCAACCTAATCCGACTTTGAATCGTCCCCTCTGCTTAACAGCTGGTCCTCAGGTATGAGACCTCCCGGCTCGTAGTCCAGCCAGCCCTCTTCCTCCTGTCCTCGTTGAATGGCAATCGCCCTTCTCTTTCTCTTACGTGCCTGCTTCGATGCTTGCCGTCGCGCCTGTGCGTACAATTCCTTCGTCTTCTTGGACCAAGTTTCTCTAATAAAGGAGGGCTGCCACGCCAGAGTGGGATACCGAGGGGATTCTCGCCAGGGCACGTCCGTCGTCGAATCTTCCTTGAGCCGTCGGCCATATTCGTGGACAGAGGTGATTTCATCAACAAGGCACCGGACAGAACCATCCTGAATGCGGGGATGGTACCTTAACTGAGTCGCATACGGGTCCCGAGAGTCAGCGCAGACCGCTCGGATGGCTGCGCGAGTATCCTCGCTGGGGCTGAAACCCCGATTGAGTAGGTCTTGGAAGTACATATAACCTGACTCGAAATTGCCCGCATCCAGACACATCATAATTAAGTGCTCGAAAGTGGACCCGTTAGGGACTACGCCCAGCGCTGCCATCTCGTGGACCACAAACATGCCGTGGTCACTGTCTTTCGCGCGCCGACACATGCTAATAAGCATGTTGAATGTAGAAACATCCGCCTTCTCCGAGCAAAGGTCATACAACTCGTTGTAAAGGGCGACCCCGTCTTCGACGGCGGTTGCATTGTGGAGAGCCTCGTGCTCGCACTTCTCTAAGATCACCGCCGCGCAGCCAAGGGGCACCTCGAATTTTGTAGCCTTGAGTTTCTTGAGCATAGTCCAAGCGTCACGAGGATTGATATCCCTCTGAATCAGTGCATCGAGCACTGCACGGGTAGAGCTTCTTTCTAGCGCAACGCCTGCTTTGTGCATCTTGCAAAGAACTTCAAACCCAGCATAAAGATCTCCGGACACCACATATGCTTCCACCATACTTTCATAGTTCGCAAGAGTGATTGGCGACTCGGAATCGACCATGAAGCGAAATACGGATGTCCCAAGGGCGACATCTCCGGTGCGCGCCGCAACCGCTAGGACTTTGCTGCAAATGTCATGTGGTGGATGCAAGTATTGCAGTTCCACCATGGTCCTCCAGATGAACCGACAAGTCTCGTAGTGCAAAGCCCTGCTTGCTTCGTCTAAGACATACATCGACAGCTCCGATCTTATGTCAAGATGTTGATCTGTCCGAGAGCGCAGCAGCCGAAGCACCTCGTCGAATTCCTGAAAATCACAGAGATAGTAGATGAGCATGTTGAACAGCCAGTTCTCGACTGGTACCCCCTTCAGCTTCATCTGATCCAAATGATCTAGCGCTAATTCGAACTGGTGTTCTCGAAGCAGACCAGCCACCACAAAGTGCCACCCACTCGGACTTAGCGGCAGCCATCGTTCTCGAAGCGTGCGCAAAATATCTTGACGCATGATGTAATCGGGGTGAACGGCGGATACCTGAGCGTAGAGCGGAAATCATCAGCACGAGTTCGCTTGGACATTGCGCGGTATTGCAGGAACATACCTGAAGCGCCGCATGAAGCGTACCCGAATCCGCTGGTATTGCATTTAGTTCCATCTCTTCGAGTAAGTTACGGACCGTTTCCGTCGATCCGCGCATCGCATCAGAGTTGGCGAGGACTAGAGCTCTGTAGTGCCGCGTCTCGGGTGGAATCTTCCGATCGCGAATGAGTATGCGTAGTATCTGCGTGGCGCTTTGAATTCTCGGATTGTTGACTGTGATCTCTTGTAGTCTAGATTCCAGGGTTTGGGTTTTCTGACCCGTAAGGCTCTCGGGGGCATCGTCGGATGCAATTGTTGTAGCCGGGTCTATTGAGCGACCTGCGCTCTGCTGTTCGGGGCGGTCATTTCGATGCTGCTGAGATGGTCTTTGCGGGCCAGACGAGTGAGATCTTTCTCCGTCGCTCACATGTTCCCGCAATGTTGACGTATCAAGTTCATTCGAGTCGGCATCTGGTTTGCTGAGAATTCGGCGAATCGGGGTGGTGATCGTTTTGGGGCCGAATGATGAATACCTTCGGTTGGGAAACCGTCTGGATCCTCCTCCTAAAGCAGTTCTTGCCCCATTGAGGGCACTGATGCTGAAAGATGGACACAGGCAAAACCAAAGTCCATCCAGAACAAGTGTCGTTCGTGACATCTCGAGCGCTTGCAGTGGCATGTGGAATCCGAATCTCGAGCTCAAGAAACAAATTACGGGAGAGCACGTGATCCAAATATTAATCGCATATACTATGCGGACGATGAGGCGGCAACTTACGATAGAGACAAACGAGGGCTATTCCCTTTTAGACTCGGTTTTTTACTACCTCTCTAATCCGATAAGCTCGGAATTAGACAGGAATGAAATAAGAAAAAGAAGCCCAGACGGCGCAATTCCCATTTGACAAATACAACCAGATACGCCAAGGCCATGCTCGACTTGATCCGCCAAAAGGACTTCCCTAGCGATAAGCTACCTTCCTCCACAACTTCAACCCCGGGGTATCTTTCATGTCTCTTCTCATTCTTATCGTGAGCAAATAAGGGGGATTGAGGATCAATATCTCTAATTACCGCCCCGACCGCGACCGCGGCCACGTCCCCGGCCTCCACCACGACCTCTATCGCCCCGGCCACCTTCGCGAGGACCACGGTTCCGGTTCTGCGGTTGCTTCTGCTGTTGTTCCTTTACCATCTCTACTATCTCCTCGGGAATTCGTAGGTATTTGATCTGCAGGGGTAACCTAGTTAGAGAGACAAGCAGAACACGGGAAAGAAATTGGGACCGCTTGGCTCCCATATGTGCAACTCACGTTGTTTCCTCTGACATAGACTTCGGGTAGGCGGAAGAACTTATCTCCCTCTGGACTCGTCTGGACAACTTCCTTGAGTATGAGGTTCATCCAGTTGTCGCAGTTGGCAAGATGTCCGTTGAGCGTCTCGCCGTTCTTGAGCTCGACAAGCATAGGATGGCCCTGCGCGGCCGTCAAGAGACCTAGAGGCAGCTATTTCTTAAAATGAGCATGGTTCAGAAAAGGCCGTGGTATTTGATTGCGACTGGAGGGGCTCACCATTTCCGAGAACTGATCAACGAGGTGAGATATTGGCTTGGTAGGTAGGAGGAAGTATGCGGGTGCGCAATCGCTGATAATATATCTCCGAAATTTTCTAAGACCGTGGAGTCCGAAACAGATCAGTTCAAGGGTGCAGAATAAGGATTCGTGAAGTAAAATCAAACAAGGACGTGAAAGGAAGATGTGGTAATGAGCGCGGGCTGGAAGAGGCTCCGCATGAGCTTCCATGCTGTGGCGGTGATGGCAGCACCGGGGATGTGCGGGAAAACATCGGCCCGCGATTGGCCGGCCAGTCTGTGTTTCTCCTTGTCGGCGACAATAACTTGATGGATCACAGTAAGTTAGACGGTGTCGGTGACCTTGGCTTGACTTAATTGTCTGTGCCCTTACTCAGTTCATCTTCCCCCTCGATTCTCGATTTATGGAGAGGATGCACTTTTTTTTATCAGCTGCGATGCTTATACTCCGTGGAAAGGCCGTTGATATTGCTCTTTCATATCACCCGTCTCATTCTATGAATATAATACCTTTGAACTTGTTTCCCACCATCGACTCTTAATACTTCATGGGCGTCAGGCGGTGTATCTTCATTGTGGGCTACATTTCCCTGTGGCCGATATTAGTACTTGCCCTCATCTCCAACCTGTTAGTGGAGGGTGCGCCTATTGATCGGCTTCGCGCAGACCACCCCATTGCACCACATCTCAGTCAGTAGTCCGTACCACCACAACAGCGCCGCTCATAACTGGCTCTGAATTATCGCCCCGTAGACAACGAAGCCGTGACGAGATTTTGATCCGGTCGCTATGTCTGAACGAAGAGTCCGGCCGCAGCTGCGGCTTGCTCCGGAAGATCTCTGAATACAAACAGCACGTCTCCATGACGAAGCTAGTCATTCTCGCCGTGATTCTTGCCGCATACGCCCTGATCTACAGGATCTGTCTGAAGACGATGTGTTGTCAGCGCCGCCGGGTGGATCGGGCCGCACAGTCCCGAAGAAAGGAAAGCCCGCCGGGCTTACAAGGCTGCAGCACGACAGCTAAGATGGCACCGCTGGTGGGAAAAGAAGCCTTCTAATGCCGTGCCACAGGCCCTCGAACGCGACAATGAGCTCTTCGTCATAGACGTGCCGGAGGAGCCGTGTCGGATGCAGGTGGGCTCAGACGGGAATTCCCTGCCCGGAGCTATGCGAGATGAGCTACAGAACTTAAGAGATACGCTCGCATGCGTCGGAGAACTGGTTGGATCGGAGAATGCGAAGGGTGCAGCGTAGCAGGATCCGGCCAGAGTAGACGGTGATAAGGTGGGAGGCCTGCATGGTGAGCGACGCATGTCCTCCGGGACTATCGCTACGTCGACAGTGGGCTTATCGACCATTACGTTCACGGCGACTAGCAGTCAAATGAGCCATGAACCTGGGTCCTCATAGTCGGTCAAATCACTTGGTACAATGGACTTGGGCCCTCCACCTTGCTACACATCATGACATGCACTTGTCCCTTGCACCTACAGTAGGATGGAATGACAGATCATGTACTTGGCAATAGCACATTGCATAAATGGTTTTGGATGGATCATAAAGCTTATTGGTACATTGACTTTGTTGCGCATGTATCGACCAGATATCCAGTCGTGCGCAGACGCTCCGCTGTTTACGCCTTCGGGCGCTTGTTTGGCGACTCCGTCTCCTCCCCCTCCTCCTCATCCTCATCATCTTCCACCGTGAGCTTTCGCTTATTACGCTGTTCCCTGGAGCTCCCGCTAGATTCATCCAGCACAACAGTCGACTCTGCGGTTGCTGCGTCACCCAGCTCTTCCTCCCTAGCTTTCAATTCGTCTTCGCGAGCGTTGAATGCTTTGAGCAGGGCTTCATAACCTTCCTCGACATTGGTGACCGTCTCCTCCAATTTCTCGATACGATCGCTCGAATCCAGCTGGATCAAGAGATCCCGAGAGCGTTTGTAAAGACGCTGTTTGGTGAGCATGCGCCACCAGTAGTACCGCCGATCATCGGGGTCATCTGCATTGTGCTTTTTGACCAAGAGTCGGGCCATGTTGGTCCCGCCAGCCGACCGTTTCTTGAGAGGGATTTGGTTCAAAAGATACATCTCCAAAATATGAGCAAATTGAGTCGAGTCAATCTTGAATGACGAGCGAATTTCATGAAGCAGCTTGGTTGGGATGAGGGCAGATGTGGGCACGCGTCGAGGACGGGGCTTCCTTGCCGGTACTCCATAAGGATCCGGATTTATGTTCAATGCGTGCTTTTGGAACTCCGGGCGCAGGATGTGATAGTCTGCGGTGTCGCGAAGGGCGTCAAAAGCCTCATTCGGGTCCTCAACTGTCAATTCCGAGATCGTCGGGTCACTGATGCAGGCATTATGAATAGTCGTGTACAGATGAATGCCGTGGCCGGAGCCTTGATGAGGGGGAAGTATCAGGAATTGAGCAATCCGCAAGCGCGACGGAAGCTGAGCAGGTCTTATCACCTCAGGCGGGGGGAACGGGCTATCTTGAATTGCGGGTTTCTGGGACTTGTCCCTTTGATAGAACCACCAGCGATATGTTGTTGCATATCCGACAATGGAATACTGTGAAGCAGTGGGCACCGGTGGCTGAACCTTCTCATATCTGCGATGTGATCAGCGTCGCTTTTACCGTATGACAGATCGAAAGCCAAACGTACACAAAGTAGACGGTCCACCTCTCTAGCGTCCATTCAGGGTCATCCGTGACAAGCGGTGTTCCGGCTTCAATGAAAAGTGAAACAAAGATTTGCGCACGATTCAATAGTTGCCGAACTTCTGGATTGGCTAAGGATCCTGCCCAAACCTCATATTTTCTCTGTTGGGTGATGTAGCTGTGAACGAGTTTGCCTGGAGGTACAAAGTCCTTGGCGTCTTGGTCCTCCAGAATTGCCTTCTCGTAATCGGGGAGCACAATGAATGCCTCTGTAGAATCGCCAGTCAGATTAGACAAAAGCGATGGAGTTATGGGCAGCTACGACACCCGTGAGCGCGGGGGTAGGGGCTTTTTGGCAACTCATGTACCTTCAGAAATCCATGGTTTCAGAGTCTTCAGTAGATCAACGGGCGCGACATCTCCCACCGGCTTGAATTTCTCATCGTAAGAAATGTGAATATGCGGGCGAAGGTCGTGGGCGGCAAATCGCATGCGGATAATTAGGCCTTTGTAGCCGAAAATTTGCTCTTCATCTCCGAAGATGGGATATGTGAATTGAGGTTGAAAGCTGGAGAGAGTCTTAAGCTTCGCTTCCTCGGCAGGTTGGACTATAGATAGGTGGAGGGCGTCGTTGGCGTCGCATGTCCCTGTAGAAGCCGGCTTGTGTCAGTAGAGTGAAATGTGATGCAAAGGGGGTCCGCGGGCATTCATTACAGTCGCCGTCGCTCGCCATGATGACAGATACGCCGTTGAAAGATTGTCGAAAAGAGATGAGCTCAAGAGATGGGTGATAGAAACAGTCTCTTGCAGGACTTCATTAATTACGTTGGAAGGCGGCGCGTGTTGCTCACATCGATCGCGTTGCGCGGGCGCAGCTGGGTATAACCGCTTTTGGTTTAGCGCGTCCACTGCCAAAGTGAATTCGATTGCAACTGCTGCATCGCAAAAGTTGTACAGTGTGGAGTAGTTGTCCAAGAGATCAGGGTCGCAGAGTGTCGAATTGTGCGTCCGACTCACATCAATACTAACGTCACAAATGAGAAGATCCGATTTCATCAATATCATAGCCCAAAATGATCAACCTCGGCTTCCACTGTTCTACGGGTATACTCCATCGTGGCGCTGGCGGGGAACAGCCTCAAAATAATTCATTGGCAGGCTGCACCCCTCATACTAATTCATCTGAGAGCTTTAAACTATGCGAGTCATAGAGTCTCGAAAGAAGGACTATTAGAAGCTCAAGAACGAACCATCAGGCAAAAATGTCTCCTCGTCACGACCCTCAGCAAGTCGCATTAATAGGTCTCGGAACTATTGGTAACTCCATGGCAGCTCTGCATCTCTCTCGTGAAGACAGAGTGGTCAATGTATTTGATACGAGGCCCGACTTCGAATAGATATCTAAGCCAGCACTCACTCGCAGCTGAACCGCCTGACTCTGAGCAAAGGGCTTCGACATCTGTGGTAGAGTCGCTCATCTCCAGGGGTCGCTTGCGAATCCATTCTTCCTCGTAAGCGCATGCGCCTCAGCCTCCATCATTCAGGTACAAGGACCAGAGAGTGTGGAGTTCAAACAGGCTCTCTGGGCTCAAGTCGAAGCAGCGGCTCCAGCTTCCGCCCACCTGTTGAGTAGCACGTCGGGCATCGCCGCGTCTATTCAACAAGTCAAGATGCGACATAAGACTCGGTTGTTGGTGGTTCACCCCTTCCACCCCCCGCACATTATGCCACTCTTGGGGATCGTCCCTGCTTCCGACACTTTGCCTGAGCGGATTGAGTTCGCGCGCACATATTTCTCTGTGTCTGATTCAAGACATCGGCCAGTGGTGATTCGGAAAGAGATACCGGGCTTTGTGGGTAACCGACTGGCATTAACGCTACTACGCAAAGCATGTTATCTCGTGCAGGAAGATGTCGTTGACGCGTGGGATCTTGACACGATATAGATGGCCAGCCTAGGCCCTAGATCTGGGAACGATGTCTTCGAAAGCTACCAGCAGGGAGGTGGTGAGGGGGCATTGGAGCCTTTTTTTGACAGCTGGGTGGGACGATGCAGGAGATATGGGATGGATTGGGCCGGGTTAATGTGCGAAGAGTAAAATGTTCCGAGTGAAAGGAAAAGGTAATCTCTCACGTCAATCAGGCATATGGGGTGTTGACTACAGAATAAGCTCACTAGAAGGAAGCACGCTTGAAGGATCTGCTTCAGACGCAGACCCAAAGGTATGGGAGCTCATGGGAAAGGAGTATAGCTTACTGATCTATGCTCAACTGACGTATTGATAAAAACTCCATGGCCATTGCCTTGACAGAGTACGTGCTTCAAAAAAAGCTCAGATGAACTGTGTTCACTACTCCGTACAGCACGCAGACCTAATGTGTATTGTGTATAACTAAGCCTAAGTATCTTCAAGATCAAATATATCCAAAGCGTAAAAAGCGTATCCAATTCCGTCATTCCATCCCTGGGCAGTGGGTCTTCCCGTGTCTGTGACTGGGGCCCGACGTTCCTAGCCAGTAGGTTGAAAGGTTCAAGTTTCTTTTTTCCCACTGCGGCAGCGGATCGCAATAATCCAACTCGGTCAACTCCGGAGTAGACTAGGCCTAACCCAGGACTGTCCACCTCCGCCACGTTTTCAGTTCTCTAACTCCTCCGACCGCCTTGGAGATACACACTTCCACTCTCTCCCCGATCTTGCCCTCCTGTCTCCCTGTTTCTCTTCTCATTCGTCCCCTGACACCCCCACGCACTTGGTCGTCGGGTATATACGCACATCGCAGCGAACTGACTTAGGATCAGGGGCGAGCCGAGAATATCACTTTCGCAATTGGCATCATGATTGAAACCTACTAGAGCGGAGACAAAACCATGGAGGGACTATTGACTTTGCTCGTTTTGAGCATTGTGATGGCAATTACGTGAGTTTCTGTCACTTCACAAAGGCATTGCTCAATTTCTCGAACCCCCTCGCTAACCGCTCCTCTGCTACTCCTGCAGGTCTTTTGTCGTGGGCTCATTACCGCTCGCCTTCACACTTTCCCCTTCCCAGCTGAGGCTCATATCCTCCATTGGCATGGGAGTATTAGTTGGAACATCTTTGATTGTGATTATACCAGAAGGGGTGGAAACCCTGTACAGCGCGAGCCTGCCTGCCGCCCGAAACAGCATCAGCACTCGGTCATCAAATATAGCCACTGGCAAGTGGCAAACTCAAGAATCTCCAGCGGTCAATTTCATTGCGTCGAGGGAAGCATTGGGCCTTGCAAACACGCCTGAGGTGTCCTCGTCTATTTCGGATGTTGTATCGACTTCACCTACGCTATATATTACTCGCGATGGACAAAACGAGATGTACGAACGGAAAGAGGAGGCGTCAGGCGACACTGATCATGAAGCTCACGAGGGAGAGAGCTCGCCTCACGCTTGGATTGGAGTTGCCTTGATTAGTGGGTTCATACTGATGTATCTGATTGACAAACTTCCTGTCCTGGCATCACCACACAAACAGGAGAGGATCCCTTACCACATATCGCTAGACAACCTGGGATCGGGGCTGCGACGCAACTCATCTCCTTCTCGAGAGGGGGGTCTCCTGGATGCTGGAAATGTCCCCAAGAGTAGTCACAGCTTCGCTACAACCACCGGACTTGTCATCCATGCTGCCGCCGACGGAATTGCTCTAGGTGCTTCCAGTTCCGACTCTGGGCTAAGCTTTATTATATTTCTTGCGATCATGGTCCATAAAGCACCGGCTTCTTTCGGCCTTACTTCTGTGCTGCTAAAACAAGGACTTTCTAGCCGCACGGCTAGAGCTCATCTCTTAGTGTTTAGTCTGGCGGCCCCCTTGGGAGCTCTGATGACTTTTTTATTTGTGCAAATAATGGGGTCGGGGTCCAGCGGCGACGAAGTTAGTACTCGATGGAGAACAGGTGTACTGCTGTTGTTCTCTGCTGGTACCTTCTTGTAAGTCTTTCCTCGCGGGCGCGATCTCCGGTTAGAACAAGCATTAACTTTTTTACAGATATGTTGCCATGCATACGATGCAGGAGAACAGCCCCAGCAATTCACGCGAGTCGCCCGTGAATGGGTATGGTGATCCCCGAGATCTCCCAGCAAAGCACGATAAGTCTATGAGAGATCTTATAGCTTCTGTTGTGGGCATGATCTTGCCGCTATTCCTGCAAATAGGCCACGCTCATTAGTCAGAAAGACTTCTCAGAGTCCATTCATTGCGCGTTATTTTTGGCCAGTTCCATCTTGTTTGAAGAATTTTCCCATGATCAGACGACAAAGGACGTTGCTGAGCAGACAACTCTATACTCCTATTGCTCTGAGGGAGTCGTGTTGCTTTTATAGACTATGTTGCTGCTGGGATGAGTATCCTTATTCGAGGCTACGATATGCTTGCGATCTATATTCTGGTATAGAAAAGGTGCTGCGATTTTCCCGCTTCTCTTCCTTGCATATGAGTGTCGTCACTTTGTATACATTTTTTCGATAGTAGTTGTCATTAGTGCATGTGTTAGCTGGACGCGGTCACAATTACGCACCAAGATCGTCCCGGAATTACTGAGGGGTGGCCCCCGGAAACCGGAATCATGTTCAGCCTTTCCCCTTGTATGATGGGAAAGTGATGAAACCTTTCGGCAAGTTCGCATCATGCTTGGGATCCCGATTCCACGGTTTGTTAGGACAGATCCTGCCGACTTGCATCCAAGGGCTCGACAAAAGCATATCTCTAATCAGATGCCCTTATCCTGATCTCTCTAAACGCTGAGAGGTCGCATCCTGTCTGCAGGCAAGTTGCGGCCGGGGGGGGGGGGTGATGTGAGGAGAGCGGATTTGTAATCAGGGAGGTATCATCTTCACCCTGATTCTGGACGAAATCGATTTTGTTTCGGAGGTGGTAGGTTGTTGAAGCTTCATCTTGTTCATCTTGTTCTCACTTACATTCAAACGGCAGAGGGGACACTGCCAGCCCTTGCGGAAGCCGTTTGAGTGATAAACTGTTGTTCATATTCTTCATCTGAGCATTCTAGTAATGGGTGGCTGATAGATCGCATTTACCTCTGGCTGGTATTTGGTGCGTCGCATGCATAAAAGTAGGGTGGGGAAGGCAGGGGTTCACATCCTCCAGACAAGGCGCATGGGAAACGACGAGTCGCATGGTGGAGAAGGACCGATTGGACCAAGCAGGGGCAGAAGAAAAGGAGGGGGGAAAGAGAAGAGGAAGAAGAAGAAGAAGGCAGGGAGCGGAATTTCAGGCGTACTGGACATACGTATGAGTCGAAACACGGACATATTGTACTGTACCTGTGCATGCACAGTGCTTCTTGTACATGTTCAGACTCAGAGAGCACATATACCAATGATGCTCTCCATAGATCAGGTTCCAATCAACAAATTAACATGAGTGGCCCCTGTTGCAGTTGGACTTGGCAGTCTTCGGGCCCTCCCTGAGCAACACTAAACCGTTCAGGGACTAATAGTTACACCTGACCCTCTTCTCTCTGTCTTTCTCTCTTTCTCTCGCTCTCTTACGCCATCGCATGATCCCAGCCAGCCTCCAGCCTGCATACATCCAGTAACTTACTCCTCTTGCGCCCTGGTGGTTCTTGTCCTGCTTGAATTATCCTCCTTCCGGTGCATTTCCCTCCTCCCTCAGTCTGTGTGTCTGTGTGTCTGTGTGTCTGTGTGTCTGTGTGTCTGTGTCTGTGTCTATGTCTATGTCCTCTTGACTCGTCTCTTGTCTGGGTCTGTCGGTCTGTCGGTCTCTCTTGTCTCTCTGTCTGTCTGAGTGTCTAGTTCGGTCTAGTCTAGTCCACATCCACACGCCCACCCCACACCCTCCCCGTTAACTGACTTGCAGACCCATTTTCTTTCTGGATGGCGTCGTTGGCGGGAAAAGGTCAAGCGTTTTAATCTTGTCCGTCGGGCGTCTCTCTCTCTTCCCCTTGTTCCACTCTGCATTTAACGCTTGCCAACCTGCTACTACTACTACTGTTGCCGCTGTCTCTGGCCGAGATATCGGATCTTCAAATCGCCATTTAACTTTTTCTTTTCTGGTTCTATCTCCTTTCTGTTATTTTTATCCGAAATCCTATTGCCCTGCCAGTCTCTATAATACCTTCTCGCCCGTCATTACCTGATACCTACCTATCTCTGCTGCTCCTGCAACTCCCCCTATCCCCCTGGTGACTGACTCCCTATCGCCAGCCTTTCTTCCCCCTCCCCTCCTCCCCCTCTTCACAATCACTGCCGTTGAAGAGCACCCACTTGCCCCGTCTTATATCTCTCTCGCTCTTACGCTCGCTCACTCCTTCGCTCCTCCCTTCTTATCGGTCTCCA